AGCCACTGGTCTACGCCGAACCGTTTTCCGTTTTTGGGCGGATGACGTTTTTATACGCGTTTTGTTGTAGACATTACGCACGCGAGGGTACGCGCTGAAATATTATCTTTAGCTTACGAAAAGGCGGTGTTCGACCAAAGCTCTCTAAGTCACAAAATAAAAAACATCGAGGCAAACGGCAAATACTTTGATTAGCTTCTATTATTAGCACGATGGGTTTAAGTGAATACAGCCACATGCGAAGCCGCGAATAAAAAGCTAGTAGTCATAATGTCATTGGCTTTGATCACCATAAGTTGGCTTATGAATAAACATGCTCTTTCCACATATGGTTTTTAATGTGCGCGATGGTGACAGCGAAGCAACTGTTCCTTTTAAATGATTTACGTCATCAGACACACGTGGTATGAGTGAGTGTCAAATCACTTAAGGGTTTTATGTAGAGTAGTGTTCCACACTGAATTTAGGTGAACATTAATAATGTTCACGTTTCACGTTTCACGTTTTAAATAAATACTTTATAAATAAATAAATATTTTAGGACACATTTGTAGAAAAAAACGTACGTAAACAAATTTTTATGTTTCATCTTAAGTGCAGAGATTTTTGTTATCATATTTATAATATGTATTTATTTCCGAGAGAAAAGTATGTTTAAGTATTTTATTCAGTTATCTAGTATCCACAATACAAGCGTTGCTTAGTATGGAACTAGAGAACGTTGTGTAAAAATGTGTCCTAAATATTTAAAAAAATATATTAGCTAGTTAGTTATAAAAGTTATAAGAATAACATCGAAAGTATTGCATGATTTCATCAATAAAAAATTGGAAGCTTAAGTTGTTTAAAAATGCCGATGCCCGGAACGCTTTGCTTTTCGGGGTAACAAAGGTGAATACTCGTAGTTATTGAAAATGTGGACATCCAGTACGTAATGCAGATACAAGAGCGAATCAATTCAACCTCCCATTTGTCTGGACGGGTCCGAAATGCCGTCCACTCACTAAATTATAACCCATTCGGCGCGGACGAGTATAGTTCACGAGGGACTCGTCTCCCCTACCACTTACGTGTCAATGGTGGCCCGGGTAATGCGCCGAATAAAAACAAAACGCCACGCCAAGACGTAACTCAATATCGGGCACGCATCTATCTGTTGCGTTTCACGGGCGAACGGGCCGGATTGTGAGACGCTATCCCAGGACACCACACGGCGTTGAAAACTAGACTCAATCGCGTTTAGTTACGGCCGAAAATCTAACGGCGGGCGTCGCGTCTGCGGAAGGCACGACATGTAAAATAAGGCGAACGACTACGCGGAGCGGTTCAGTGTGTACGCGGCTGTAAAAGCGAACTGACGCCGAATTACGAACTTTATCACCAACGAATAGAATCTATAATACCTCGGCACGCGGCCAGATGAGGTTTTGTGATTACGGCGCGTTTTGAAAAGCGTTTGCGGCGGGCGGTCTGGTCCAACGGGCCGAAATATTAATAAGACATAAAGGGACCAATAAATGAGCAAAAGGAATACGATGCGCTTTTGGTATGAAGCATCCTTTGTACCATCGCCTTTGAGGACCTTTGGCTTTGAACCTTATCGCGTAATGCACTGTACTATCACTGGCATATGTACGCAGATAGGGTTTTGTTCGTCGATTCCAAAAGATTCGGAACGGACAAGGATGTCGACGAGTGTTAATTAATGAAAACCTTGAGAGATAAACTTCTTTCGTAGTATTTGCCTTTATTTTTTGTATCTAATTTAAAAATATGAATATGGCCACGCAGCAGTTTCGATGTTGCACGAATGGGCAGGTCCGTCCGTGTCCGATGGGGTCGTGGTATATACCACGACCCCATCGAAGACCGCCGTGAAGTGGAAGTTTTATACTTCTTCGTTTCGTCTGGTGAGTGCGATAGCCGTGCCCACCTTATTAAAAGGTGACAACGCATGTGTAATCCTAAATTAGGTGTTGCAAATATCCATGGGCGACGGTTATCACTTAACACCAGATAAACAGCCAGCTAGCTTGGCACATTCTTACATAAAAAAAAACATCTCATCTACACCATTACAGATTGTACTGCTTAACTGCAAATACTAAGAAAGAAGATTCTAGAAATTCTGGAAATAATGCACCATCTCATGAGCTTAGCACAATATGTAATGATATAAGTGGCATGCATATTTCTTCTATTCAGGCAATGCATATTGGTAAAAACTCGTGTTCATCGTCTTTAATTTTGTTAAAATTTCTAATAAAATTCAAAGCTTTAAAAATAACCGTTTATCACGTTTACTTTAAAGTTACATGGTTAAAAAAATTTTTTGACGGCTTTTTTCGGTTTATTTTATATAAGACGTAAAATTCTAAAATCTTAAAAAGGCATCCAAAAAATACAAGGCATCCAGTAAAAATTCTTACGTTATTACGGCACCTTGAAAAAACAAGTTCAAGTGAAATATTTTTTTCACGTCGGCTATCTGGGGGCTTCAACTCATTGCACGTGGAAATAATCCATCTCCGGGATGTAAGAAACCTTTTGAATATTGCCGAGGAGCTTCTCTTACGGGCGGTTTTAATATTAAATCGAATTCGATAGATTTGGTATTTGGATTTGGACGTAAGTATTATGGAGCTAATGTCAAAAATACCCATCGCTGGTAACCAAATCTATCTAAAGATCGAATACTGAAACGGGCCCTTAGTGTCACCAGATTAAGGACTCTTCAAATTGTTGCCCTAACTGTATCATATCGTGCTGTGTGGCTACGCAGCAGGGTCTTCCGCACGAATCGGCTAGCCCGTCCGAGGAGATAACTCGACCTCACAGAAGACCGGCGTGAAGTCAAGGTATTGTAATGTCCGGTTTAGTTTGGTGAGTAAGGTCAGAAACAACCCCTTAGGTGTTCATGGACGGCGGCAATCACATAGCATCAGAAGAACCATATGCTCGCTTGCTAACTTTTCATAGATTTGGAACAAATAGCTGTAGACCAAGCAAATACTAGTCCCGCGTCGGAATGAACCCTCGATCAGGTATTTCGTTACCTGCTCACTCCACATCTGCTCAGTTTTCCTTTTTGTCAATTTTCTAACGCCACACTAATAACAATAATCTTAATCAATAATAATAAGTATCTTACATTAGTGGCGAGTTGTAACCTTAATTGACAATATGTAAATAATACAACGCATTGTATTTTATATCTGTGATAAGAGTAGTTACCACGCCAAAATCAATAAGTTTACCTTTCGATGCCTTTTCGGTTACATTTGATAGCTTTAGGTAGCTAACTTGTGAAAACAACAAATAAAGTTGAGTCATTAAGTCGATCGCGATTATTCTTTTAAAACTCCATTAGGACAAATGAAGAAAGATTAAGAAAAAAAATTTAAACAGCAGCTTAAACGTATCGGTTGTTAAATGTTTCGAGATAAAATACAAATAATTTACAAGATGAAGGGCCTGTAATTAAGACAAAAAAACGCCCCCAGCTTATCACTTAGGACACGGGGTTGATGACTCCTGTAATATTTACTTTGCAATTAACAGCGGATTGTTGTGCTTGCAATTTCGTTATCATTACCTCGTCTCAAGCACGATTAGTAGGAGTATTACCTCTCCATGCTGTCAATTTTTTATTGGACACATCAACGATCAGTACGTTGAGAGACTTGGAAGTACCAATTTATACTCGAGACGACTTAACGAAGATAGGTGCAAAAAAACACTCTAGGCTAAAGCAATAAGGTACATCCACAAGTTTATCGGTGGTAATCGTTATGGTTATTCCGATTCTCATTTTTATTCGCAGCGTACGCCGTCTTAATTGGAGCCCGTAGATAGTTTGACAATGGAGCAATATTTGCGATTCGAGGGAACACCGCCGTAGCGCTAGCGGAATAAGGTTCGAAGTTGCACGGCAGTCCGCAAATCCAGCATTCAATTAGGCCGGTTGAAAAGGGATGTCTTGCGTTATTACGGCATAAACGTAAAGGCTTTAAAAAGACCGAAGTTGCATTGTAAAGGAGAAAACGGTCATCGTATTCTCCATATTATGCGATATAATTGTCCAAAGTACATTACACAAAATGCAATTAATGCAATGATTATAATTATTTATTATTGGGACTTAAGCGAGAAGAGTCAGACATATTCGGGTTTTTTGATGTAATAGGTTGTCACTGTTGAGCCAAACCGATGGCAATTGGACTCGATGAAAGTTGATTGATTGTTTGTAGCAATTAAACTTAATACAAAAGTTGATAATTGATTGTAGTAATTACTGCCGTCATGTATTAGCGATTTTGATTCAGCTGCTATACCGAATTTATAATGCACGTGCCATACCGTCGACGAAGCTTTTGATAATGTGAAGATTTAGAAAGCGAGCGGGCGATTCACCAGATTTTAAGCGATTACCGCCGTCCATGGGCATCTAATACACCTCGGAAGTTGCAGTTAAGTTGCCACCGTTCAAAAATGTGGGCTTCTGATTTAGCACGCACCGAAAATATAAAACCTCCACTTAACACCGGTCTTCTGGGAGGCCGTAGTGCTTCTCCGGACGAGCTTACCCATTAGTGGAACAGAAACTGCTGCGTGGCCCTACCGCAGCTATGGCGACCCAACATTTGACAAAGGAAACGGTATACGAGCAAGTGGACGGCAGGATGTCGGTACGTGATGGCTGCCTCTGGTTTACCCATCATCGTAATTTTTGGTCGCGTTCACTCACTGGTCGAAACATGGTTAGTGCAAATACTTTTTTTATATTAAGATCGCAAGCGCGCTGTCGGTGCATCTGATGACGGTCATCTCACCCACCGAAACGCATGAGAAAAAAATTTCCCCTTCACGCCGGTCTTCTGTGAGGTCGTGATACTTATCGTCGAGTCTATTCGTGCGACAGTGAAAACTGTTACCTTTTCAACTGAGACTTACACCTTATCTCGGCTATTGCCATGGTCCAGGGTGTTAGAAAAGATCACCTGAGGGCGCACTCGTCGACGTCCGTTTCGCAGAGGGTCCCCGTGAAGGTGGGCGGACATTCGCAGGTGTAGGAGTTCAGTCCGTCGACGCACGTCGCCCCATTCTGGCAGAGGTTGCCCGGGCAATCGTCGATGTCGATCTCGCAGTTCTGCCCCCGATAACCTGTGGTCAAGAAGATAGTGTCAGCAAAATCTTTATCTGAAAATTTGTAGATATTTTATGTGAAAAATGTTTATACTTTAAACTTTGTGAATTTATCATTCAGTTTATGAAGGTAATAGATTAAAAGAGAAAGGAAAGCTTCCTATTTTGATTGTCGTCGGCCGATAATAAATTATTTCACTAGCAACAAATAATAACTGAAAATTGTCTAAATGTAAGAAGAATAATCCAGAAGGATTGGGTGGTACGCGAGGTAATTTGTTCTTTTCCTGTTTCTGTTTATCATTAATTTTAAGATCCACTGCCCTACAACGAGTACTTTCCCCTTCGCGTTCATCCTCATGCCGTAACATCAATTCCAGAGGCTGTGTAACAATCCTGGGGGCTCTAATTGGCGGACGGTCGCTCGCCCATCGCTGGGCACACAGCGGCCCATACAGCCGGCCGATTAGCAACTGCGCAATCTCATTACCTTCATTAGCCCCGGCCGGTTCCCACGCGAGCCACATGCGCACTGTTTACGATACGGAAGAAAAAAATAACCGCCCGTTAAATCTGTCGGCGCCTCCGTTGCTGCCCCAGTAAACAGGGAACGGTTAACGTTTCGTACTGCGGATGGCGGTTTAACGAAAATCCTTTTTTTTTAAATAGGCCCAGAGCTGCGCTATTCCCTTTTTTTGGGTATTGGGGGAAATCTTCGAGAGATACCCTGTCTCTTTGGAAAAAACAATACCAATTGTATTGTTTTTTCCAAAGAGACAGGGTATCTCTAAATATCATGAATTGCGTACACGATTAAATTTGAAGATTAAGCATTACTTTAATTTATAGCTCCGGAGCAGTCGTTAGAATTTATTTTTACGATCGCGGCGTAACATAACAAAATGATTAATATAAAACTCGGACATCGCTGTTGAAGACTGTAGATTCTGTTTACAACAACAAACAGCCAATCACGCATTTATCTATTTGTATTCGATATATGAAACTGCTATGGATTCAATTCGATGAGTTGACCCTGGACCTCGACGCGCGCTGTCGAATCTCGACCGATTGTAGACGACACGACCACAAGAGAAACATACCTATTAGATACAACTCCCCACATGACAACAAATCAGTCTCAAGCGATTTTATATTTAATTGTATTCGATATAGAATACATTATTGCTTGATTGCGATCTGGACGCATTCACACGGGTCCTTCAGAAGCGACAGTTGCAAATCCAGTGTGGCTGTGTAAGTTTGAGGGATTGTCTCATTCGGTGTGAGAGGTGGCGGGAATAGTGTTTCCCATAAGTACACGTAAACAATTACAGCACGGAAGCTGTTAAGTCTATTTCGGGATCCTCATCACACATGTGCTCTGTCGACGAGTTTTTGACACATGTTCCTTCAACGCTGGCCATCGACCTCGGTTATTTTTTTGCGATACGACCCGCGCGAGATTGAGGAAATTACCAGGCGTGTGAAATATTTATGTAGGGTAGGTAAACTCTGATTCCGTTCTCGTTGAATTCGCTGATTAATTGGCAGTTGGTCAAAAAATCAAACTCAACTAAGATAAGACTTTGTTTATAAATTTTTATTCAGATCAGAATTTGAAATTACAAGTACCTACTCCTAATACCATAATTTTTAAACCTTTTTTCACAACCTATATTCAAACGCGCTGGTGTCCTACAGTCTACAACTCTACACTGACCTACTCTGTGCCTTCCCTGCATTGGGCAGTTTCCTTATCAAGGATATTTATCCTCAATAATAAATCTAATATACTAGCATAAAAGGGACTAATTAATGCGTCCAAATCAGAGCTCTTTTCACATATGTAGATCGGTGGCCTTCTCACTTCTGCTATCCGCCCGTTCCCACACTTAGCGGTAGTGACGTCACCACGAGTGGGAACAAATCGCGGGCGCATTTAGCTTGTGAAGTCCCCTCAGTGTCGAAAGATATATTGTGATTAACTCCAACAGCTTAATTGCTAGCACTTTTACTTAACAACGTAAGCATTAAAACATCTGCTCCCGTTTTATTAATTAGTCACAAGCACCATTAACAGAGCGTAAGCTGTCGAGTAGCGAAACGGGTCGAGAGTAGAGTTAAGATTGGGGATAGGACCTAGAACAGTTTAACACATGATCGAGTCAAAGTGAGAGAGATCTGTACCCAGGGGTGGGACAAAGAAGGGTTCGGATTATGGTGAAAAAACTGCTCTTTCTGAAGTCACCTTAAAGCTTCGTTTCACGCGGGTTGTTCCCAAACCGCACAAACTGCACAAAGTTAAGAAAAGCTTTAAAAGCTAGTACTAGATTTGAATAATATAATAGAGTAGGGTCATTACTCATATGGTACCTTAAAATATATTTTTGTTAGAGCTAGTCTGTGCACTTTCGATGAAACTTAAAATTGCTTAGACTTTTGTTAGCTTTGTTATTAGAGTGCCTAGGAACGTAGGCGAAGGTTGGAATCCTGATGAAAAGAACTTTTCAATCTACACATGGTATCGTTTATATAAGACAATTATCGGAAAATGTTATGGTTGTAACATAACAGTCGATGGATGTAAATGAAAAATTGATTGCGGCAAACGTATCTTTCTTACGCTTTTAAAATAATATATCCATGAATTCAATTATTATACCGCACTCTTCGAAACGCAGAACCGAATGCACGAAGGCATTCGTTCGACGCTCATTCGTTCGCTTGACAAAATTGAATTTAGTACCGGCGCTGTTCTAGATTCGATTACGTGGCACGAACAAATACCTATCCGACCTTTGGCCTACTGATCAGAAAAAGAAAGCGTTCAGAACGAGCCGCGCTCATAAATGATATCGCAACCGCTCAGCCGATCCCATTTTGCAAGAGCGCGTCGAAGCTAATGAACGCGAGATGTGCCAGCGCCGCGAACTACATAAACACGTGACGTAACCGAAAAAGCAAGTGCCGCCCGATTCTGAAGTCTATTGCCATCGACACAAACGCTATCTCATTTCGAGCGTCATTAAAACTAACTCGTAGCTTTCTCAAGCGATTGTAAGTCGTGATATCGCGCGATTGTGTGACTTATACACGAGTGTTACGGATTATATTCACTTGATGGCCATCGAAAGTGAACTGTCTAGCAAAGCTCATTGATAGCGCCTCTAGTATAATGTAACAGAGGTCATTTTGCAACGATTTCCGGCACGAAAGAAGTCACACTGCCTGGGCGGTTATAATTACGTGCGAAGAATTTTGCACATCGATGTGGATGGTTTTAAGAACCATTTTCGCGTGCTCAGCTGGTAGATTTATTATAAATTCCGTGGGAATTTACACGGCTAATGAATCCGACGAATTACTTTTCTTCACACTGCCTTTGCCGCGCTAAGCTTAGCGTTTGATGACAGAATACCTTTTGTTTGTTGTAAAACTACACTACGTGCTAATACAAAAATGGCGAGTATCAGATTGCATGGAACTTTTCGCGCCCACTTTTTGTCCCAACGATATTTACTACATATTACTTCTCTTCCTTAATACGCCAACAACTAAACCTCGTTACTAAGATTTTAAATACAAAAAAAATATATTTTTTACGCAATTAGTAAATACATTTAAAATTAAAATTATAATGTAAACTCCTTTAGGTATATTCATGAAAAGTTAACATATCATTGTTAGTCATGTCATTAAAATCAAAACACAAACTTCATATAAAAAAACTACTAGAACACACACAATAGAGAAACGGTTTGGGGACTCAATCCTCTCGATAGGTTACAATAATTTACCTGTTACGCCACAATAAGGACCTCGCTTTGATCTTTCGGAGAAAACAAACAGTTTCTTAGAGAAAGCAATCTCAACCTCTATCAGCTCGACTGCTCCCAGACACTGATAGAATTCCAGCCCAAATTCGTTCATCGCAGATGAGAAACCACAACTCCAAACCCAGTCTCGGATTAGTCAAGAGGCACAAGTACCGGTCTCTTAGACGTCGTGAGCGCCTCAGGCTAGCAGCCTTCCAGGTCACGGAGTAACCGAGCGTTATCAGCGGACACGCAACCTCTCGAATCGTTACTACGCTGTCGCGAACTGTTCTCTGCCTTTTTCTATTGTTCCCTCCTCAAGGCAAGTGTTTGTCTTATGTTAACATGCAACGCTGAGTGGCTTGGAATGTCGCAGTATACGCTCTCGAACTAGGTCCTACGTTAGGCAATGAGATCAAGGAGGGAATAATTATTATTTTTAAGTAAACGTAAGGTATTACTTTTACTTAAAAATTAAATAAACGAACTACCGCTCTTATAGTACGCAGCTACTCTGTAATATACTTGTGTTATAAAAGCTTGAGATTAAGTACGAAACGTATTTATCATGTTACCTCACAACCATTATAAACGCAGCGCTTAAAATGATATAATACATTCGTATCCGGCTCTAAGGCTAGTCATTTAGTCACTCATAGCACAGCGTTTTAGATAACATTTATAGGCACTTGGCGAATATAAATATAAGCTTTTTTGCTTCAATTCAACCGTTCGCATCTATGATTTATGGCCACACGATACCGATTTTTTTATAACACCCAACGATTGAACTCGTCACTAAAACTAGATATTTGTCTCGTCGATGTCTTGTCATCCGAAATGATACTTTAAACTACTGTAACTGGAGTTGTATTTAATGTTTCGCCAGCGTTTAGAAACAGTGCGAGAGAAAGGAACTAATACACAAAGACCTAAACAGAAACAGTTTGAGAGATTCAAAATAATTCATGAACATCAATTTATAAATTAAATAATGACAGAATGATGGTGGTACTTTTTGACGTTCAATAAGATCTTATAATCTATATTTTGCCTATATTTTGAAGAAATATTGACTTTAAATTTCATGCAATTCTTATTTAAACAAAAATCTGCAAGCAATCGGCAACCAACCGACAGTGGAACCGCTTCCTCAGGCAATTAAATATTTACAATATTTCAACAAACAACAATAAATTATGTACAGTTATCTGTCGAGCAACGGTGTATAGAACAGGTTTGCTTATCGCATATTAAAGAAATGGTCACAGTTAACCCGACAAAATCAAGATGGCCGACTAAAGGGCGACATTAGGAACGGTCGTGGGTCAAAAGCAAATCGACGACAGATTTAGAAATAATTGGCGATCGCCGAGCTTAGATATCTATCGATACGTGAGCTGGGATCTATGAAAACATAGCGACTTTAGTTCGTGAACTTTACGAGTTTGTATTTCTTTATAGTAAAAGAAAATATTTAATTTAATACCGCCTTGTTACATAGAGGAATTTTAAATCAAATAAACATTACAAACATCGAGATGTTTTGAATAGATGTTTGTAGACAGACAGTTACCTCGGGCGGGAATCAAATGCACTGCCGAAATACAACACTAGCAACGGATATGTCATCAAAATTTATTTAAACTATTTCATACTGGTATGAAGAAGGCTGCTGAAGTAGACGAGTGATTAGAGTGGACGTTAAAATATGAATACCCGAGGAATATCAGATTAAATAACTGATGAGAGTAGTTAAAGGAAAATATTTAATCAATTACGGTTAATAAAAATCAAGAGAACATCACGATAAAATCAAACCGGTATACATATTTCACGCAGACAACCAAAACATAACCGCTATGTGTTTTAGAATTAGACACATATCGTAACTGCTGTGTTCGTGGTCGTTGTGGTTTTCCTTTATGTGAAATGTTTTCAAGAATGCAGGCTGTTCACCTGATGTTAACTGATTACCGCCTTTATTACCCTATTCTGTAATCTCCGCCGACAACCGTGTGTTATGTTCCTAGGTAATTAGTCCTGTATTTAAGTCAAGAATCAATCACAGATCAATGTAGTATTAGGATTATTAGTAATTGAGCTATTTTATATCGTACCGCTCGAAATAAGTTATTTCTGCTTACGAATGCGCATGCAGCCTTATTTTGAATGATTTATTTGATACTTGGAATCATCGATCTCAAATTAACACAAAAGTACAACAGTAGTTACAACAAAATGGAGATAAAAAACTGCTGTGATGTCTGCAAATAATGCAAATAATAGTAACTCATATTGGCAAAGTGACCATCTGAAATATATTTTACTAGATTAACCAACCACCGTATTACAAGTGTAATAACAATGTTCTAATGACTAAGTATGTGAAAAGCGAATGGATGATGTCACTGACACAATATCAAGTTTTTGTCAGCCTTCTCACACAGAAAACTGAAAAGTGATGAAAAATCTATTTTTAAGTTGACCGACACGGTCAAATGGTTTACGACCGTAGGACACTGGAAAGAAGAGCGAAATTAGCTGTAGAATCAGGAATTCTCTATAGCTAGAGACGGCACAAGTGGATACCGTGGTGAATGCGTTTGACCCAGAAACCGAACCTACAACGAGTACTGGAGCGGGCAGAGCTGCGACGATCTGAAAGGAGCATGGCTGCTAAGCCAATCGCCTAATGTATATGGAAACGTTACCGTATATGGGAAAATTGGCGACGATTTAAATGCACCCGTTTTGCTTTCAAATTGGCTGCGTTTGATTTTTTGCTGGTTGTAGTAAATGTAAACTCACTCGTAAATGGACCCATTCGTTATGACACCGATGCGACTTAAGTATCGCATTAATTGAACGAGAATGATTTATGTGCGGATTTGGTAAAGCATGCGTTAAGGAACTGAATGCTGTCGAGCTTATACGAATTTTCATGATCTTTGACAAAAAATGTTCCTTTTTCATTGCATTAACACTGCGTTTAATTAGAAATATCAAAGCCTAATCCTGGAAATTTAAAATAAAAAAGGCATCCATGTTTCTAAAAAATATCTGATCAACCTACAAGTCTCGTCAAAGCCTACAGATGGTTTGCCATTTGGCCTTAACTGTAATCGTCGAGTTATGACTGAGGGGAAAACAAACTCACACTAACCCTTCTACCACGCCCAAATACGCGGTCATTCTAAATAGAACTATTCTCTACCTCATCATCATCATTTCTGTAACTTGGCCTATTTCGTAGACAACCACTAAGCAGGATCCTGAGCCACTACATCCACTACATCCATCGACTTCCTGCATATTTGCTGGTCACCCATTCTATTTGGGGCACTTGAAGCTTCTAGCTTCAACCAGTAGCGGATTTAGTTTCGATGGCGCCTAAGGCCCAAGATGTAATGGAGCGTCCTTTTTCCTCCCTCAAAATTTTCCGCATGAGACCCAGGCCTGACGGGCTCAAGCCTAAGTCCGCTACTGTTTGAAGCCCGAATCAAGCAAGAAGCATCAACTCGATATGTGCGAACTCACCGGGCGGACAGTCGCACTCGTATCTCAGCTGGTCGAGCGGGGCGCAGCGGCCCCCGTGCAGGCACGGCGAGGGCTCGCAGGGCACGTACTCCGCGTCGCAGTCGCGGCCCGTGTAGCCCGGCTCGCAGACGCACGTGTACGAGCCGTGCGTGTTGAAGCAGCGGCCGTGGTGGCAGGGCCCCGGGCCGCTGGAGCACTCGACCACGTCGTCGGTGCAGCGGGGGCCCGTGAAGCCGGGCGGGCACGCGCAGGAGTAGCCCGCGGCGGTGCCGTTGTCCGCGACACACCGGCCCCCGTTGCGGCACGGCTGCGACGCGCAGTGGTCCTCGTGCGAGCACTCCGCGCCTGTCCATATATCCAGTGTTACACGAACGTTTTCAATAGGCCCGTGACGTTAGATGGCACGAGAAAACTGCTGTGTAGAGGAGAAACGTTGAGGTTTTGAGGTAAAAGAAAAATATGTTAAAAAGACTAGTTGAGGGTAGCTAATATGTAGTTCAATTGTCCGAATCTGTTGCATATGTCAACATAAACATACCAATTTCAGACTTTTCATTACTACGATTTATGAAGATAGTTGTATGAATAGAGATTATTGATATTACTTTTTTTTTATCCGGGATCTCTGAAATATCCTACTAAATATTTTGCACTGACGTTGTTGCGAAATCTTCATTCAATTCGGCGATTGCGATTCGGCACAGAGCGACCATTTGCGTCAGCGGATACCGCTTTTATGGTTTTCACATAATAATGAATTCGGAATGATAATTAATTCACACGTGAACGTTCCGCGGGCGAGCGGACGGGCCTTGGTCTAAGGCGGAACGCGTAAAAGTTGATACCAATATCGCCTTTCGCGTTGGCGGATCGTCCGATCTCGTTTTGTTATAAAAACGGTGCGATCACCGAAATAATTAAAAGGACAACGGCCCCGTCGAAATTGATTGGACCAAGCTAGCGGTACCTTAAAGTAACTTCTCAGATGAACGCAAGAACAATCCCGTCGCGGTAATTTAATATTTCACAACATTTTATTTTAGATTGAGATAAGCTATTGATCAGATACATATAGATGGCCACAAATATGAAACTGGAATGGAAGAGACAAAGTAATATGTGTATTTCTCTCTTCTGCCTTAGGTAGGATGGGCACAACTTGTGTATAAAATTGTTAACGGTATTGGCTCGATTTTATTCGGTCTACCGACCCTGATCTGGATATCTTTGCGTCCATTGTGGGAATCGAACCCACGATCGAAGCCAATGGCTTTGTAACCTCGTCACTGACTCATCTTCTTCACAAGCTTTTATCTACGTCTTCACGCACTGGATTCGCAATATCACAGTTGTGTGTAAATAAAGGATACAAGCCATCCACATTTCTGTTTTGCAGTATAAGGACACTTATACAAATCGTCTATTTTATACTGTGATATGACCACGTAACAATGCTGGCTGTTGCACGAATGGGCATGTTCGTCCGGGTTAGTGGTTCTACCACGACCTTACAGAAGACCAGCGTGAAGTGGAAGTATTATACTTCTGCGTTTCGTCTGGTGAGTGAGGTAGCCGCCGCCCACTTTATTAAAAGGTAGCAACGTATCTTGCACCCTACGGGTGTTGCAAATGTCAATGGGCGGTTATCACCTGACATCAGGTGCACCACCAGCTAGTTTGTTACCCTTTCACATAAAAAATGAATAAGTACTATTATAAATTGCCCTTTGGTAATCACGACTTCATGTGAACGAAGAAAATACGACCGTTTGTAAGCGGCTAGTCGACGCGGGGCTCAGGGCTCATACAGGATTCGTCACCTCGCTTAATTGGAATGTTTGTGTGAGTAATCGACAACGCGTGGAATTTTAGTTTCATTGAACGCAACGAGTCTCAATTGGAGTTAAAACTGTTAAGATTTCTATGCAACTTAGGGTCTTAGTGTTGAATAAAAAACTTAAACATTATTAGGTATGTTGAAGATGTTTAATATTTAAAGTGTAAAACGAGTAAACAGGTGACGACGACTGATTGTAACCCGGTGAATTCTCATCATTAAGAGCCTTTTGCTTGCGATACTATCGCATCGACAGAAACACAGGTTTACTAATTTAATTTTATAGTGAAAACTTAATTAATTAAAAGTGAAACTGACACAAACATATCCGCTTTCAAGCGGATATGTTTGTGTCAGTTTCACATACAAATCAAACTAATACCCAAAATTGACGTGGAACGGGAAATCGAAATTAATTACTGGACTTTCTTCGGGCGCGTTGACACAATGTTGCACATTAATATTAAATGACAAGTACAATGTGCACAAAATGTTAGGACAGGAAGACGAGAAAACTGATTCATTGGCTCGTGCAAAAAGCGGTCAGATCTCGTCTGGTCGCTTCGCCAAAACGGAATGGAAATCCGTGGGGTATATGCGAGAGAAACGGAAAATTTTGCCTGACTATGAAAGCGTAATAGCCACAAGATAAAAATGGCGTCGGTGACTGCAATTGTTTTTGCACAGAAGTTTACTAGGTAGCGAATTGCGAGATTTTGTCGCGTGTAAGAAACAAAAGAGCTATCGAATAGCAAATACTTTTTTTTTAATCTTTCATAACAATAGTTCAGGACGCTGAGACAATCATTTCGGCTACAGTTATATTTACTTCAAAATTATAGCGCTATCAAAAAGAGATGACATCAGTTAACTATACAGACATTGCAGTATCGAAACTCACATGATGTTAAAGAAAAAACTGCAAAATCCAAACCATGAAACCCCGAAAGGAAAAAGAAAGCTTGTTTTTTATTACACAAAACCGTTAATAAAAACCAGTCGGCGCAAATTGGCCAATTCAATAATTACGCGTGTAAACGATGTTGTTAAGATATCAGACGTGAATACACTTCTGAATTTAATTAGGGGGTATTTCGGTTATGACGAAGTAAATTGTCGAGAAAACGATGAAATTTTTGCACGTACCCCATCTACTACAAATTTAACAGATATAACAGCTTCGGATAATATTCTAATAATATGTACATCAATATTCCTCAGACGTTTGTCATATGATTGACGTCATTTAAAAGTGTATTTAAAATTACAATGAGGTTCGAGCCATACGTGGGGAACGGTACACGCATTTTTTTCTTATTTCTCATACAAACACCTGTGCATTTTATTCACCAAGAAAAGCTAGAAATGTTTTGGTTCTAAGTAGAATACATAGCAGTAATATGCCAAATTTCACCAACTACTTTTTAATCAACGCTCATAAAATATAACATGTTTTTGATGATTGAAATGATTGATAAATCAAAAATTAACGTAATTATCAAAATATTCTCTCAAATACAAACCTCCAAAACAAGCATTATTTCAACTTTAACAGTGCCAAATTAAAATATTTTTCATTTATTAGTTAGTTATTTGCTAGTTTTCTATTTGTACATTGTAATTAATTGTCACTTCCAAAATAAAATATACGTCATGTCATCTTGAAAGAAAATTAGGCGCTTACGAATTTAACGGACCTGTACAGTAGTGAGTAACTTTAATGGCTGATTTATAGAATGAATGAAACATTAATGCTTTGGGATCACTCGTTACTCTTAACAGTCCTTTAGAAAAATTAAAAATATCTATGAAACTAGAAGACATATTGGCCCTAAAGCACGAATGGCTGTAATCAAAATGAAAACATCTTTAAAAACCTCCAAGTGTGTATCTAGGCTCCTAAATATACCGAGGGTACATTGTAGTAAATGTCAAAGCTTATCTTGACTAAGCATTGATAAAGATTTGAAAGTCGATAAATCCAAAGCGAAAACATCTTCGATATGGACAAAGAAATAAATCTCCGGTATAAACAAACTTACGTTATTGGCTTTAGGATCGGTTACAATAATATTGAAGCTATAATGTGTAGTCCGGTATTTTATTGCTTGTCTCTATTCCATATACGATTAGAATCCGTCAGTCGCCGAGTTAGCCTACTATAAAAGGCTTTGTCTCTACCGCATTGTGCTGTTTGATTGATGCTTCTAGTATCTTTGACTGCCATAGGGCTCAAATGAATGTTATAAGTAGTCGGTCCAACTAAGAACTAAATTTCGCATAGCACTAGAGTCTACCGTGCTTAGCTGTATGCTTAACTGGGGATTTTTTGACAAAATACTTTCTACAAGAGGAAAGGGCATAATTTTTCGGTAACAGATTTACTACACGTGAATGTTCATGAGTAGTTATTACTTAATACTCAACCACTGGCTCGTTTGGATTGTACAAAGGCTAACTAGGCGCGTGCCAGATAGTAGGAGCTGTTGAGAAGTAGAAAGCGTTAAGGGCTGGCTATTTCTCATAATCAGCAGAGATCAGTATTTCGAGATCATCTCACAACGTCAGGTTGTAGTTTGTATTGTTGGAAAACGAGAGGTGTCGTGGAGCATTAGGAGCCAAGAGACAGAGAGAGCGAATCGTTGGGGGCATAACGCTTTTTCCTCACGCGACGATATCCACCAAATCGCATCCCTTACGCCGCGTCAAGAATACGCTCCAAGGCACCTGAAAGCAAACGCACCTGTGTAGCCGGGCGGGCAGTCGCACTCGAAGGTGTGCAGCGAGGTGAGCCGGCAGGTGGCGCCGTTGAGGCAGGGCGCCGAGTCGCAGGCCGCGGGCACCCTTATCTCGCAGAGGGACGCGCTGAAGCCGAGCGGGCAGTCGCACGCGAACGACGGCGGCCCGCCGCCGGCGCCGGGGCGCACTCGACACGTGCCGCCGTTCTGGCAGCGCGGGCTGGACTCGCTGTGGCACGGGTTCAGGTGCTGGCAGAACTCGCCCGCGTAGCGCGACGTGCAGCTGCGAAAGAACGATACGTTTAGGTTTGATTTGGGAATTGACTTTTGTTTCTGCGAAAAGTTGTCAACCGCGAAAGTGAGCAGGCGGTTCCACAGAGTAACTGAGGGCTTGTAGATGCGTCGACAACCTTTAAAAAAGTGCGCCCCGATTACCTTGCTCACCAGATGACACGCGAAAGTTACGATGCTCCAACGGGGGTCTTTTGTGAGGTCGTGGTACTTCTCCGGACGAGCCTGCCTATTTGTGCAATAGCAGCGGCTGTCGCGTGCACCTACCATAGTAATAACTCCTAAGTATTGATACGAACAAACATTTCATGAATGCAAAACACGGTATGATCGACAAAACTAGAACAATTAGACGCCGCAAACTCGCGGAATCGACTTAGTTCGAACATGAATCCGTGCAGCGCACGCCCACTGAACGGGTCTAAGCAGAGGCAGCGCTGCACTATCGCGGTCGTCGACGTCGCCAATAAATAATGGCGATAAGGTTCGCGACACGACCGTGCGACGCGCGGCCGCTATCTTGCCATGCGCCGCCTACCAAGGAATGCGGCACACACGGTGGCACTGTACGACAAAGTAATCCGCGTTGGCATTATTTGCAACAGGAGTTGATGAAGCACATAACATTGAAAAAGGCGAGTGCAAAACAACCAATTAATAAGTATCGTTTAGTTTATAATAGCTATGTCCAAACTTTATATCAGATTTAACATCTTGTATTTTGTGTTAACTGATGTTTTTGCTCTCAGTCCCGAGACTATTAAAGCTTCATCTGACGCAGAATCGGTAGGCTAGCCAGAACCCATGGGGTGATTTAACATCGGAACTTCAAAGCGTGCAACCGACTATTGCTTACTTAAAATTAAAATCGACGAAGGGCAATGAAGGGCAAAAAACTGTTATAGAAATGATGTTATCAATAATATCTGGAACGTCTTTAACTAATGAGTTTAACCGTAATGAAATTACCATTATTCTGATCATTTACATAAAAACATTTGGGCGTCATCAGCTCAGTTTTCTGACTGTTTCACGGAAAACTGGATAAATAGCCAACGTTGCAGTTCCACGGGCTTAGTAGCGAAAATGTGCGAGTATGCGTTAAGTGCGGTACAACAGCCCGAGCGCTCTGAGGTCAAAACGTGGGCGTGAAGACAGGCCCCTAGGCCGCCCACGCCGTCCCGCGAACTACGGGCCGCGTGAAGTTGAACGCTGGATACATTCGGTTCGGCCTCCGAGTGCCTTGGAATGTACTGAGGAACGAGCATGGCTGCACGTTGGAAATGACCGACGCTCGAATAAAAGGTTAAAAACATAGTAAAACTGGTTTCGACACTCAAGTCAATTTAAGTAAAACAATTTCTCGCAACCATTACATAAGCACTAACGAAGTGTTAAGTATATATATAGTTTATAGTTTATTAAGTATATATATAGTTGTTTGTTTCTCGGAATATCTTCACTTTTTACTGCTTGAGGGTTAATCATATAAAATCGGAAGTTTGGATTAATAGATACATAGTAATAGATTTTCGTAATGTTGTGCAATCACGCCACTTGTATAAAAACAAAGACCAAAATGTGATTGTCCATATCGTAGCCTTCACATTAGCACAGAGCTATTGTTTCCTTTTCGAATAATTATCGCGTGGTTTTGGTCTAAACTAGCCTGAAAACTGGGATAAAACGACATTTTCTAAAAATGAAACCTAGTCAGATGGAATTTTCGCCCCCGAATCTACACACATACTAAATTTCATGAAAATCGCTGGAGCCTTTTCCGAGATTCCAATTATATATATATATATATACAAGAATTGCTCGTTTAAAGGATAAGATTCAACGCTCGTTAATTATAGTTGAGATTCTTCTATTCAATTATTTACCTCTTTGCCATAATATTAATATATTTCTCATTTTTCTGATTTCTGTCAATGTAGATTTGACTACATTGACAGAAATCCGCAACAAGGGTGAACTAATTATTGTAATTGAGTAACTACGGGACTAGCTTCTCTACAACATCCAAATGAATTTGGACGTGACGAACTACAAAATATTTCTTTTTCGAATTTGGAATTCATGAATAGATCCAACTACGAATTCCGTATGAGCCTCGAATTGAAGATTTTCCCACCAGCCACTATCGATAATGTAACAATTTCGGATACGTGAGATTGACTCCGAATGTCGGAATATTAATTCGGACGTGGGTGGGGCTAGCTCGAAATGATCCGTTGCGCTCTTACGACCATTCGAAAACCGTTTGGATTATTAGGCCCATAATTGTATTGCATCCGAAATTGTCTATCGGGCAAACGCATACAATTTTTTTCGTTTTGGGGATAACGAGTTGTTTGTTTAATGCATAGTAAGTTATGCGCATTTAAAGTGTTCATTTGTTTAATGTTACTTCCAAAGAAGTTAATAATGTAACATAAAAATGTATTCTTTAATCATTTATAATGAAAAAACTAACAAAAAATATTTTAAAACTCAACGAAACAATTTATTCCTATTGGATGACGCTGCATCAAAACTGAATGTATAGATACTAAAATACGAATATATTTTTTCCACTTCGTCTGCATAAATTATGAACTGACTAGCTGCTGCCCGCGACTACGTCTGCGTAGAATAGGCTGAAGGCGTAACATTCGGACAGAAAGATAGATGTACAAAAAATATGTATATAAATTAAAGCCTATGTCTAATTCTGATGTATAAGCTATATTATTGTAAAGTTTCGTTAAAATCCATTCAGTAGTATTTGTGTGAAAGAGTAACAAACATCCATCCATACATACAAACTTTCTCTTTTATAATATTAGTAAGTTGAAGAGTATTTCGAAAATGAAATCAAAAACGCGATGATTTAGTTCATTGTCGTATAAACTCGGAAGCGTCGTGTCGCGACGCGAAGCAGAATTCGCACGTTTTGACAATTAAGCGATTAGACAAAGCAAAAACATCCGACAATGGGTAGTCCAGCCATTCGGTAGACAGAGAACGGCGATAAATTAAATTGAGCGCAACACAATTGCACCGTGCGAGACGTGAGAAAACGGTTCACGGCGCGCGTATGACAGTCGAAATGAGAGATGGCTTGAGCCGTTAATTATCGCATAACGAGACGGCATCCGAGAATGATGACAACGGCCGACTACCTGCGCGGCTAACCTCGCAAATAATAGGCCCTCGCCCGCCTTTGTTCGACGTTTCGCTAGCAGCTAAATCTTCATTACCTCGGGTGCGGTAAATTAATATCTCCGCCATATCGACGTGCTTTCGAACGAGCACTTTATCGTAGATTTAAAACTATAGTAGAAGTACTAAGAATTTAATATATCGGGTTAGGTGGAAATAAAATTGTTATCAAGTTTTAGAGGAGAGTCAAGTTTTATCTCTTGTCAGGCTTATGCCTGTAGTCTCTTGTATCTTGTATTAACTGATGTTTTTGCTTTCAGTCCCGAGACTATTAAAGCTTCATGTGACGCAGAACCGGTGGGCTAGCCAGAACCTTGGGTGCCTGTAGTCGCATAGTGGCTTCCTGCAGTTAAGAACTCAGAAAAACGGAAGCTCGTTTGTGGACGAATTTGAACCAGCTCTCTGAGTACCATTGTCTAATAGTCAAAAATTCGTCACAGTGGTAACTGGTCTTTTAACTATCGCTTTACGAATAACGAAGTTACATGTCCGAAGAAACATTCCAAATTTTCAAAATCCCAGAAAATCTAGAACTGGACTTCCCTCAGTTTGTAAACATGTTCACGTTCAATGAAATGTTAGTGCACCGATGTAGATTAATTGGCCGAGCTTGCTAGGTCCAGAGGATTGTGGAAGAGGACCATAATTTCTCGGCACCGACAGCAGATACCATGTCCCGAGAAGCATGGCCCTCATAATAAATAAAGCGCAGTTGCGTGCACGCTTATTCCAATGTCTCGATTATTCGATATTCCGTTTTTGAAATAGCCAAGAGAGTTGATGAACCTCTTAGGGTGATAAGAATTTGAATTTAGATCTATGCGGTTTCTATTAATATTGGTATAAGTTTAGTCTTATTAAACAAACGTTTTCGTGTATGGAATATAAAGAAGAAAGGGTGTAAAATTTGCTGAATCACTTAGGAGTATTGGCAACACAGTCTAACGTATGACACGTTAAGCCCGAGGGAAAAAATAAAGTCAAATACAAGGGATAGCAAGAGTAGTTAAGGTTTTCTTCCACACGAGCGTAACACGTAACCTCGAGGATTATTTTCACCAATTAATTAACGAATACCCTGCTGTGTGATATGTGGATATGTCTACTCCATCCACGGAATTACAGATAATTAATGACGATTATCAATTAAAATAACAAATAACTTATGAATTACGATAATTATTTACGATAAAGTAACAAGCTCCATCAAAAGAAAACATTAGATTGGTTATTAAGAATAAAACGAATAAATAATTCACAGCGTTGAATAAATTACAAAGGAGACGGTGAGTACGCGGACAGATGGTCACAGAGCAAATATTTGTCCGTCGAAACGGTTGAGGTCGGCTACCTGACGCATCACAGGAGCCGCAACTTGACATATCTATGTTGATGTAGTAGGTTCATGAAGGTTAACTTTTAATACACCTTTTGGTTTATGAAATACCCTTTAATAGTAATAATTACTTGTCACTTCAAATGTAAGTACCCTATTTTAAGAGTAGGCTTCAACTTTCAATGGAATAAACAACTTCTATATACGCTACAGCTTGCTTTTTGATTGTAATTTGTAATTGAATTGCATATATATTGCAGTGATTTAATTAAAGTTGACATTTTTTACTTGAAACCGATAAAGTTATGCTGTTAAGTTTGACTTTAAGCCGTCACAAAATTACCGTTGAACCAGAAAAAACATAATAGCTATAAGCTGTCACTAGGACCGGTATAGGTTTCCTGTTGCGCTTAGGCGTGCGGTCGGGCTTATAGTCGTGTGCAGTTACAGGCCGCATATGGTGTTAAAAAACTGGCGACACTCATTTGTGCAATATACGTTCATACTAAAAGGTGTCTTCTTGCTAACGCGACACTCCTTAAATGTATGAATAACAGTTTGAATCGACTAAACACGCGAGATCGATCATTCATTGAGCGGTCTCAAGCCGCATTAGGCAATGTAAGAAGCAATCTACACCACAACTTTAATAAGAAATCGCGTTGATGTAAACATGCCTTAACAGTATGACGACAGTAAGATGCAAAAGGCAAAATAACACAATTAATATGTCTCCATACTCGTCGAAGCCGATTCAATTATGTTCAACAATATAGAAGAAAAAAAAACAAATACCACAAGAAACACAGCAATTCCACGTATGCATAAACCTAATTAAAAACAAAAGATAAACAAAAGTGATTATTAAGCGGAGAAAAAAAAACAATGACGCAACAATAGAGATACGAAACACAAACTCGCAGCCAATTATAGGAGTCAAAGTTGCACCGCGGCGCGGCGTGGTTACGACGAAACAAAAGGCCGGCAACACCATAAACGATGCCCGGTAGCGACCCGATGGCCATAGCTCATCGCCTGTCAGAAAACCTTCGCAGGATATTTCGCCATCTTTATTAAAAGCACTGCCGATGTCGCTCCTGTATGCCTTGTATAAAAATTTCGGGAGTTTAATTGACGTTTTCTTATATAATAAACTATAAATGAAATACGTTACAATACAATGAACTGTGCTCAATTTTCTTGTAACATAGTAATGTTGTTTTGATAAAATTAAGGGTATAAAATGAGCGAACGTTCACATAAAAAAATGAGTTAAGAAAAGATAGTTGTAGTAAGATAGTCGATAATATCTTGGTCCTTTTAGCCGGACTTTCCACTCCCTGTAAATCTTTTCGATACTACCTTGTAGACATTAGCCGATAAGGCCCTCACGAACCAAGTAATTGACGTTATAAGAAAAGCTGTAGACTTTTACTATATTATAAGTTTACGGGTATCCTGCGTTATAAAGTAGATATAGTCGGAGATAATATCTAACCGTGGGTGTGGCTATACGCGATAAGACAAAGGCTGTAAATAATTCATAAATATATATTCTATTTCACAACTATAGACTATTTGTAGACACTCGTGCTGTTAAATTTTAAATGGGTTTTAATTAAAATGATTCATTTTAAGTATTGCATCCACAAATATACATCTACGGTAATAATCAATAAAAAACCATCTTGAAAACACTTCGACTTGTCCCTTAGACCAATATATTCAGATATTTCTGATATTTACGAAAGGGGTACTTTATTAGCGAAATAATTATACTTAAGACCGATTTTACCATGTACATCCCTAAAAAGAACTAACCTAACTGTCACCTGATGCCGATGGCTGCGTGATGAACACCTAGTGAGGAGTAACATGAGAAAGGTGCTGCAGCATCTAGATCAACTTGGATGCACGATGTTCGGCGATTGGGCGTGAGAGACGTGCAGGCGAATTGCGGCGGGGCGTGGCCTGCGCACAGTAGCGGGGGGCCGCGCGGGCTCACCAGACGCACTTTAACCTCTACAAGTTATCTTCGGCCCGTGAGATGAGAACATGCCATTTAGAAGGACACGAAGAGTTAAGGCATCGTGGTATCGAATCGTCATAAATTCATTCGCTAAAGTAGAGAATAATCCAATACTCTTGATCGAGTCAAGTATTAAGGAATTAGTAATAAGCAAAAGTGAAAGGGTCTTAGTATTTACAGAACTCGCGCAAGGAAACGCGAGTTGCCATCGAAAATGCAGAGGGCAACTCGTGGCAAATAAGATTAGGCAGACATGAGAGTGAATGATGTTGAATGAGTTATTAGAATGGCGAAGTATTAAAATTCAAAAAGGTCTTTAGATAGAATGGTCATTATCTTCAAAGCATTAAGAAGAAAGTTATCTGCAAGTCATATTCTTCATGTTTTTCTTTTTTCCAATTTAAATAATTTTATCACTTTTACTAATTCTAATACGGAATAAGGTTCCTACTCTTCACTCATCAGCAAAGTAAAAAAATATATAAGTTTTATGAAAGTGTAGCTATTTTTGTTTAAGAAATTACGATTTATTCGAAATATTATCAAATTATGGTAAGACAAAAAAACAAAAACGAAAAACAGAACTCAAAAACTTAGAGCAGTCAAATAATAGCCCCATTAATTGCTATTAGATTTACGCGGAAACTTATAGTTGCTTAATTGGCCGATTGGGTCGTTTTTGTATAAATTACTACACGTTAGAAATATTGCAATACAAAAAATATCACTAAGAGGTTAAACGAAACTGGATTTTTGTATTATCTTTGCCAAAGGAAGAAGAAACGCTACAGAAAAACGTGGATAACAATTCAATACATCGTTCTAAAGTATAAGGTCCAAACTAAGAGATTTAAAATACAGCAAATACTTAATTTAGAACATTTTAAAACAAACACAACTTAACATTATACAGGATTTAAGATTTATTACATTATAGTAATAAATCCTCACACTGAATTTGTGCAATATGCTTCCTCTATGGTCACAAACTAACAACCAGATAGACAAGATAATTTAAGATGGATTATCCAAGCTGTTGCCATTTATTTCGTCCATTAGGGAAGCAATGATGTGTTGTAAAAAAACGCAAGCCATTAAATAAAATAATATAAAAACGATTATTCGCAATCACAGTATGTTTGAATTTAGAAGCATGCCATGAATATTAATAACGCGCAATGTTTGCAAATCCTAATTTGTATTCAGTTTTGCAGACGAAAGAAACAAAAAAGTAATATGGCACGGTGCAATTTCGCGCCCTTTTTCGTCGTGACCAGAGACGTGTTTAATCTGTGCCAATTCGTTCAAACCGCAATCGATGCAGCCTCTGATATGAAAACGTATAATTCGAGTCGAATGTCGCTTATCTTTAGAGCCATCATCACATTTAATTCATTGAATAAATTGGGTTACAGTTCGTTATCAACCTCATCTACACCTTTAAATTAGGAGAGTTAATTCTATTGAGTATCCTGTTAAGAAACTCAACCGCCGTGGACCATGGGTTCGTTTCCCTCCCGAGGCAAAGATATCGATGACCTTCGGATTTACAGTAACAGATTTACGGTGGGAGGGTCCGTCCGGGTAAGTACCAGGACCTCAGAGAAGACCGGCGTGCACTGGAAGTGTTATACTTCTGCGTTTCGTCTGATGAGTGAGGTAGCCGGGTCACTTTATTATAAGGTAGCAACGAATCTGCAACCCTAAGAGCGTTGTATTTTTTTATTTTTTGATAATTTTAGTTTTTTTCTTCTCTTTTATTGTGTGAGTCCTTTTTTTGGTAAATAAATGGATTTTCTTTTCTTCTCTCTCACGTTGCAAATGTCGATGGGCGGCGGTTATCACTTACCATCAGGCGAACCGCCAGCTCACTTGCCACCTTCTCGCATAAAAAAAAACTTCCCCGTATCTGGGTGTTAGTCCCGTGTTTAATTTGTTCGTAAAATTCCTCCATAACACGGTGCATGTTATCAAATCCTACAGTTTGAAATGAAAAGAAGAATAAAATAAAAACGTCTACTACATATAACCGGTAATATTACATTGAATTTATCACTTCGACCTCTGGTAACTGACAAAATCAATGTCATATGCTAATTGCTTTTTTAATTTGTTTTTTGCATACATGGCATACATGAAATGGAAATTGTCTTCTGATTGTCTTTTAAGGCGAAAATTACACTAATATGACCGTTAAACAGGCTTCCTATTATAATAAGAGAATGAACATTTGAGAACGAAGTGTTTAATTATTACAATTTATTGTATGAAACTATTCTTGCGTTTATTTTTAATTTTAATTCCCGACGTTTCGGAAATTAATTGCTAAATACAATGTGTAGTCATTGCGTAAATATAAAATATTATTTGGATTGTATTACTTAATTGTACGTATATTTACAAATAACTGTTATTATTTAGAAGAATTAAATTTCTGCGTTCATCGTACGTAATATGTAAAGTTAACGAAACTCACAAAACTCACTCTTAACAAATCAGACCATAAAGCAGAACAGCAAAAAACTAGTAAAAGGCAAATAATGTTTGAAGACAGATTTTAGAAAACTTGGCCAAATAGGATTGGATCAGTCTATTCTGCTTGCTCCAAAGGCATCTCGACATATGAATCGTCAAAATAACCAAACTCCCCACTAAACCGAGAGATCTAACCATACCACTGGAAATATTTCGTGCGATGCGTGTCGAAAAGCGCCGCAGTTAATAGACGGGGAGGGGAGCGGTTGGCGGGGGAGGCGGGCGGCGCACGCGTCCGCCCCGCGCCCGTTCCCACGCACGCACACACGCGCACGCGTGCGTACGCGCGCACACAGACGGCGTGTGTGCCCCGGGCGCGCGCGCAGCTTGCGCCGCCTCTACGCAGAGTAGAACCGCAGCGGTCCTCGCGACTTTCCAATTACGGAGATATTTCACTCGCAAACACAAATAATATATCGGTTGCATTACAAAAGATCAGCGGAATATAGTTTGTTTTAATTGTCGCTTAAAGAGATCTGCATAATGACGGCAATATTGACAAAAAGAGAAATAATTGACTTGGTTACCTGTTAATTAACATCTGATTTGTAATGGATTCAGTGATAAAGATAGCTTCAAGCTTCATCATATCATTATAATAATATAATAATATAATAATAATGAGTTTATTGGGTACAAAAAAAGTGAAAAACATGTAATCATTAGAAGCCCTGTAGCCTGTGATAGTTTACAACTGTGTTACAGACTACAGTGTCTTCCCCTCATAGTTTACACTCATTGAACATGCAAACATTGATTTGTTACCTTTCATTTACCTATGTTCTATTTATTTCGCTTCTTTCAAAAGAAATTTCACAAGACAAAACAACTTATCTCAAATGAAAATTTCAACAACAACTTTCCCTTATTCCGCCTTTATGCATTTGAGGAGTTGTCTGTACTGTTTCACCTTAAGCCTTACTAAAAGTGCAAGCTAAGATAACAAAGGGTCCGTAAGGTCTAAACCCCGTATGGTCATTGCTTTTGACATTAATTCTGCTACTTATTTGCAGAACGACCGGCAACGCATCTCTAAAGAACTTCTACGAGATAGTATCCTCCTGATTGCTTGTGAGTTTGTTGACTACACAAAATCTATCAGAGATAACTTTGCCAGCTCTGCATCGCGGCTAGCCTGTGCGCGCCCCCACGTCGACATCCGCCGATCTCTATTGAGCGTTGCTCGTCTGGCGATTGATGCCAGCGCAAGCCGAATCATCGCCAAGGTGAACCGTCGACATTGCACATTGTGCCCGCAATGTCGGCCGGTCACAATGAGTTGTACGTCGCAGAGCACGTGTGGAGATTAGACACGCGAGACGGAATTCATAAGTTAGCATTTCACACTTCAAATCTAAATTGATCTATCAAAATCTATCTATTGTTATCTATAACAAACTAGTTACTTTTAAGAGTTGAACTTTTAACTCGACATAACCTTCCCGCTTATTTATACCCATCAATTGTTATATTAATTTATTATGTCAAAGGTTCACTGTCATCTCGTTTCAATGATAATCTTTTTCGCCTTTTAACAGACACTTATTGATTCAATTGTGTTTACGATAACAAATGAACACTGCACCAGTTTTATTTCTTGATGTAATCATAAGCATTACTAGAACTATACCAATGAAAGTTACGTTTTTGAAATACTCCGAAAAGATGCTGTAACGAGCCCTCGGGTGCTTAACACAAACAAGTGTCTGAATGATAATTAGACAATGGGGTCTTTCCTTTGAATTATAATCAGACAAAGGGGTCATTCAATCAAAAGTTTAACATCCACAGACATTAACCACTCCCTCAATTTATACCTTTCTTACATTGTACAGGCTTTTGGGAGGAGACAACATAAAAATTATTATTAGGGTATGTTGAGGCTAGGCACGCACGTGCAACCACCGACGCACCCCTGACGATAAAAAATACTATAGTTCCTTTACATAACAAAAGCTCTTTTGAAATCCAAACGATCTTAACTCAAATTATTCAGTATTAACCGAAAAGCAACCAACCAATATGAACTATAAATCTCTGTCTAAATTAATATCTACTATGTACTCGTAAACAACAATGCATCGTTTTACATAGTTTGATAACCATAACCGTTTATTTTCAATTAAATACTACCATAACAATATTCGAACATTTCTGAATTCAAATTCACCTCTGTTAAAATAAAAACAGATAGCATCCAATGTGTCTTGCTCCGTAAGCCCGTAATAACTTCACACGCCCGGAGTCCACCTTGAGCGGTATTCAAGTAGGAAAACTTTGAAGAAATCAACGCACAAACGAGGCCAGCTGCTTAGCATAAACGCTGGGGATTAATATGATCACTTAAAAGCGGTTATCGAAGACGGTGGCTCGCGCTGATCGTCGATAACGCGATACAAACAGCATAAAGCTTTTAGCTCTGAACATGTTACCAGCAACGGGCTCATACGGATAAGGTGAAACTGGAGTAACGGTGGTTGCGGTGAATTATGTGCCTTTAATGCCGGTAAGGTTTCGGCAGCGTGTCCGTACGATTTATTACCTGTTTAACTCGATTATTAACACAACGACAATCTACAGATAAAATGAAACTTCCTGTCCAGTACCTTCGTTGACTGCTGATTTTGGGCTAGTATTGCGTTAAGAAAAGTATTTTCATAAGACTCCTATACGATCAAGCCGGATCAGTTTATTTACAAACCTAAACAGGTTTAATTTTGTGAAGCTTAGGACAAGGTTAAATTGAAAAAGGACATTAAAATATTGAATGATTTTTAATAGTGGTTGTTATTGTAGTATGTTGTTCACATATGTGAGGCCTAAACCAAAGTTTTTGTTACGATATTACTTGATTGGGTGTACAAGGTGTGAGTTAATAGAAATGGTCACCTAAGATATAAGCGTTATTTCCATTCAACTCAACGTGTAACCCACTTTGTCTTTTTCTAACACAAAAAATAAACTAACGCCACGCGTTTATCAAATCTAATAAATGGTTTTTTTTTTTAAATATAATTACTCAACTTTCGGATGTGGCTTCTAACACTGAGCCAACACAAACACCGGTCTGATATCGCTCTTCGATCGGCATAAATCAAGCTGGGCGTGCTCATGTCATGCCGCACTCGCACGATGAATGTGTACCAATGGCCCAGGTTCTCTTGTTTTTAATTGGAGCTCGCGACGCCGGCGGCGTTCGAGATTCGATTCTAGGAACAGTATGCGGCATGCGACCACAATTACGGTGGATCGTGTGCGCTGCGCGTTTTGTACGAAGCGATCGCGATAGTCGCTTGGGGAACACGCATTGTACGCGCCCGTGACGTTGCCATCGTGCAGCTCGCGCCATAAATCTGCAAGCCCGCCAGGCGAAGCAACCCTTTATTATACTGAGACATGATTGGCCTTAGGCGCAGTCCGGACGAAACCAGCTTAGCAACTAACGCGGCTGGCCCGTATCGACTTAAGAACTGTCTGGGCTATTTTCACCCCCATTTTTAATATTTTTACTACGCAGTTACTTTTGTTAGAATTTAAAAAAAAAAACGCAAACGAACAAGCGATTCGCTTAATGTTCTGAGAGACCTCTGGTTACCTGACCTGACCTTACCTAATGGAAAAGCGTAATTCCTTTTAATTTAAGCGGCTTTTTTGACTAAGTGTGTTAATTACACGAGGCAGCGCTGTATCAGCAACATCACGGTGCAGTTAGTTATTTGGATACAGCGAATATAGATGACTATCAAAATAACATAACTTTTAAGCACTTTATAATTGGCATTATTGTAAACTATCTTGTAACAGACAATAAACACGAAACACAACACCTAAAAAGCGAGCCGTCATATTCCACAGACCCCAAAAGGACGGAGGCGATAAACAAAGCCGTCGACCGGCCCGCACTGAATACAGATTCGTTGGGAAACACGCGCCTCGTCGACACGCCGCGGCGGACGACCGTTGCGATTTTTTCTCGGCAAATTCCGAGTGTCCTATTTCGGTAGCCGATATTAGCAATTCACGCCGTCTCCTTCTAGAGGTAGCTCACATTCCTAACCCTGGCTTATCTAGCCTCAATCGATAGCATTTGCGGTCACAGCCTGCCCGCGTTCCCGATGATCTATTGGCATCGTAATCGGGCGCGACTGAAGCATTGAACCCGGGACTGAGCTATGGTCGACAGACTCGAAGCACAGGTCAATATTTGTAGATAGAATATTTCAATTTTGATTGTCAAAGATTGTCAAATCGGTCTTCGCATTTGAACATTGAGAAAAACACAAACACTTAAATGTAAACATCAATAATGAGCCCCATTAACTAACAACCGGAAACTTCTACGGATCCACAATTTACCATTCCACTAGGGTTGTTATTACAGTTACTGGGACCTATAACCTCCAGGCTTAGGTCGCTTTTTGTAATTCTTCGTGAAGAACTAAGTTTGTCATTTCTCAGATTTCACACGACAATCGAGAATGGACTGGAATTACTAGCGTCACTGTAGTTCAAGAGGCACTTTTAATAGAACATTTTTATTGTTATCATTATTACTCAAATTTGTGTTCACTATTATTAGTTTTAACTAATCGAGACGGGCTCCATTACGCAGATACTAAAGATGTTGGTTCTAGGATAGTTTGAGCGCCCACGCCCTGGGTTGAGGCGTCTCGAAGATAAACTCCCATGGAGGTCAAAACTTGTTGATACGCGATTGGTTGCCTAGCAACGGGCCCTCAGTGGCACGACGAATTTACGTCGCCCAATAGCATAGCAATTGTCTTGCCTCACGCTGTGAGTCATTCGACGCGGAGTTTTAAATGAACTCAATAGCCACGAGTGGGTTTTTGTGTCACAGCAATGATTTGCACGGTCCGACGCTATTAGGCGCCTGCTCGATAAAGCAGCTCAACTTAATCTAGCGTCACAAGTTAAGAATGAATCGTAAAAAACCGACAAGACACCAGCTATGTTAAATAATTGACTTGGGAACGACGATACTTCTTATGTAGATACAAATTTCTTATAAGAAACTATTCAATAGTTTAAAATACTTTTGATGATTGGTTAAAGGGTGAATAATAAGCGGCAAATAACATTTTCGTAAACAGATTAGAAACATAATATGAATTGAGATAAAATTTAAAACTACAGACAATAAATTTAAAACTAAAGCCTTAAAGCCTATTGTCAGCCGTGTTAAGTCAACATCATTTACTTTCTACAGACATAAGCCTACATCTGAATACACTTAAATATTTTAAAGTCGGAGTTTTTCCATGTTCATAACTAACGTCGGCTATGACGAACGTATGTACGGAATTTGAATTACAATTTGTTTCGTCATGCACATTTCTATTTTGTAACTCGGATTTTTAATAAAAACCTCTTTGCCAGAGATAGAAAGAATAAAACCAGTACAAGTATCAATTCAAAAAAATAATTAATAAAAAAGCTGTCAAGGTGACAAAGCTACGTATTCAAAATTTTTCTTATTCCTCATTTTTAAAGCCAAATTTGGTTCTAAAACCGATGAAAGTTCAGTTTTAAAATCTCAAAGACTCCGATTTAAGAAATAAATTTTGCATTTCAGTATATTTTTGCGGCCAACGAAAACAAATTCTCTGCGATCGAAGTCAGGAACGTCAGCTGTCAAACGCTTGAAAATATGTTGTCTTGGATTTTGCAATAAAACCTGGGGAGTACTGTAATAATTCTTATATTTTAACCTAATTTGTCGCCCCAGATATGTATTTGTATTTGTTTTCAGCTTCCACGTCCACGCCTCGCTGCCGTGTTAAGAGCCAATGGTGGTCGTCGCGAGGCTTCCTCATCGTGCCTTTTAGTGACTTTTAGTGACCTTATTTTAATTTTTTCAAGGGTGATTTTTAATATTATGAATAACGATGTACGTACATGCTCTCAAACGGATTTCCTACCATGTCAAAATTGTTCCGACGGTAGGCTTTTTAAAGGTAAAAGAGGCTTAAATATTCACATCAAACGTTGTCATAGTCACCCTGTTGCAGCTTCACAGCCTACCGCATTTTGTAATAAGACTATTAGCGATTATAATGACAAAAATTTAAAGTTGTTTTCGGAACAGATCTATTATTACCATAGCAATGTACCAATACTCAAAAGGATTCCAAGAGGTGCAAGGATGCAGCTTGCCAAGTCATTATCAACCTGTATTCAAAATTGTTTCTCAAATACTGAATCTAGTTGGCATAATTTATTTACCTTTGCGTATTCCCATTTTCACTTTGATAAATCGGTATCAAAATCAATTACTTCTCAGTTAAAGAGCAATTCATTCAAAAATGTTGAATTAAAGACTGCCTCATCCATAACTAAACCCCCCCGTAAATTCGATTTAAAGAGAACTGTAGAGACTAAAGTTATGGATGGTGATTTAAAAAATGCATCGCGCATTTTATTTTCAGACCACATCCTTGCTCCGTATAATGATGAGACTCTAGAAAACCTCCGACAAAAGCATCCATCGATCAATCTTCCGCCGCTCCTACCGCTGCCTCCCGATTCTTCATATCAGGCTTTGCAAATTACCGATAAAGACACTTTCGAGGCAATTATGTCATTTTCAAGTGGCTCTGCTGGCGGCATTGACGGTATAGCGCCACAACATCTGAAAGATCTTGTAAGCGTTTCCGCCGGTGATGCTGGCAGAGCGCTTCTTAATGATATTACCAAATTATGCAACTTAATGCTTTCCGGAAAAGTAAATCCTAAATTTGTTCCTTTCTTATACGGGGCAAGATTATGTGCCTTTAAAAAAAAAGATAATGGTATCCGTCCTATTGCTATTGGTTCTACCTTTCGACGCTTAACTTCAAAATTAGCATGTAGGCACATAATCTCCGGCCTTAAAAGAAAATTCCAGCCCATTCAACTAGGCTTTGGAAGCAAAGGCGGCTGTGAAGCGGCTGTACATTCCGTTCGAACTTCTTTAAATACTAGTGATTTGGATGTACTTCTGAAGGTTGACCTAAGGAATGCTTTTAACTCCATTGATAGAACGACTCTGCTGAACGAAGTGGCTAACCATACACCAGAAATATATCACTATGTTTGGCAATGTTACAGTGAAAAGAGTAATTTATTTTATGAAAACCATATTATTGATTCTGCTGTCGGCGTTCAGCAGGGAGATCCGCTAGGACCAGCATTATTTAGTTTGGGAATTAATCCAATTATTTCAAAATTGAAATCTAAACTTAATGTCTGGTACCTAGACGATGGTACTCTGGGAGGTAAAGTTGACGATGTACAAAGTGATCTTATTGAAATTATTAGACAATTTAAAAATATCGGTCTCGATTTAAATAATTCCAAATGCGAACTTTTCTTTTCCGAAAAGATTTCTTTTTCGGACAAAATCATTTTGACCCAAAATTTTAGCTCTATCATACCGGGAATTAACGTAGTCCGTTCAGATTCACTTTACCTCTTAGGTGCTCCTTTGTTGATACCAAGTTTGGAACCTCATTTAAAATTAAAGTTAAGTCAATTTTTAGATCATGTCAATAAATTATTTTTACTAAATTCGCATATTGCGCTTACTATTTTGCGACATTGTATTCTTGTACCTAAATTTACGTACCTCCTTCGCTCGAGTCCAGTTTGGAAATGCGGTGACTTTTTGAACGAAATTGATTTCCATCTTAAATCAGCTCTAGAAAAAATTCTAAATTTATCTCTTAATGAATTAAGCTGGACTCAAGCTACGCTGCCAATTCGTTTTGGTGGTATCGGTGTAAGGAAAATTTCTAGTGTCGCTCTACCTGCCTTCCTTGCTTCCGTGCATAGCGTAAATAATTTTTGTAATAACATCCTTAATCACGATTCAGAACTTTCCTATGCAGAGGAGGCAAGGATGTCTTGGCTGTCTATCTGTCCCAACGAAAATACCCCACTGGAAGTAAACCTACAAAAACAGTGGGATATTCCTTTGGTGCGGAGAGTACAGAGAGATACGTTTCAATCTTTAGAAAGTAATTTAGAGCGTGCCCGTTTCCTAGGAGTCTCATCTAAAGAATCGAGTTATTGGCTTCACGCTTTACCATCAAGTAACTTGGGCACATTACTTGACGATGAAAGCTTACGCATTGCTGTAGGAATCCGTCTGGGGGCACCGATTTGTCAACCACACCAATGCCCTTGTGGTGTCAGTGTAGACAAATTTGGTCTCCACGGGCTTTCTTGTCAAAAAAGTGCTGGCCGTTTTTTCTCGCCACGGTTCCCTGAACGACATCATCCGTAGGGCTCTTGTTTCCATCAATGTTCCATCTATTTTAGAGCCCTGTGGCATTTTACGCGACGATGGTAAGAGACCCGACGGTTTAACATTGATTGGGAGAGAGGCAAAGCCCTTGTTTGGGACGCCACTTGTGTAGACACTTTGGCTGCCTCTCATCTAAGGGGTACTTCGGTCAGGGCCGGGGCGGCATCGGAGGCAGCTGAAGTAAGTAAATGGCGCAAATATGAGTCTTTATGTTCAGATTATGTATTTGTGCCATTTGCTGTTGAAACATTAGGTCCGTGGGGTCCCCGCACATCAAATTTTTTTAAAAGTTTATGTCCTAGGCTTAACGCCGCGGCTGGTGACAAGAGAGCTGGTTCTTTTCTCGCGCAAAGGTTAAGCATAACTATTCAGCGAGGAAATGCAGCTAGCGTTCTTGGCACCATGCCGCGTGGATTAGGTTTATTAGATAATATGTAATTTTAAATAGATTTAATCTTGTAAATATTAGATCTATAATAAATATATGAATATAAAAAAAAAAAAAAAAAAAAAAAAAAAAATTCAAATCCTATCCTGATGCAATGAAATATCTCTTAAAGCATTACTAAATATGAATCTATATAAGAAAGTTTTAATTGCATGATGTACTATAATCCAAGATGATATGATTTCTGTTAGTAGTCAGGTATTATTAATAAGGACATTTATAAACAAATCATAGCGGGGAAAAAAGAATTACGATTACGATATAAGAGCAAATGTTCATATTTGTTTGCTCAGTCACGTTGTTGTTCGCTACATGTCGCGAGAATCGAAACTATAACAGTTCCAAATTCAACTTATGGAACTTGGTGAACTGATTGCAGCTTGGGCTTCTTAGTCTGTTCCGAGCGTCTTAAATTTAGACCATGTTGAAATCTACGTTGTAGTATTCAAAATGCCTCGGAGCGCGGCAAACGATCGTTTGCGATCTCTGCAGTCGTTGCGAGAGGCCTGTGGGAAAGAACGGGCACTTGGTCGGACCCCTCGAGGGCCGCATTCCCTAGATTGGCCCGCACCGCCGCGAGCTGGTGGGAGGTCGACCTCGGCGTAACCACTGGTTTGGGCGCGACCCGACCTGTCTTTTGGGAAGCGAAAACGGCGTGAATGGAAGACGATCGGGTTTGATAATGTTGGACCACAAATGGTTAAATACTGTCTAATACAACTGCTTACTCCTGCACACCAGCTCAATAAAGCAAAAACAAATCAGTCTAAATTTGTCAACCGGTATGGTTGGTTTTAGACGTTCACGAGACCATAAAAAATGCCTAGATTGAACAATTTAAACCATTTGGAAATGAAACTCGATATTGTCGCGATTTATTTTTTCTAACTCCCAGCATATCGAAGACTTTACAGTTTACACTACTGAATTCATGGTCACGGAATTGCCTGAGCCGTCTTACACAAAATAAGTGTCCGTAAAAGTGTCCAAAAAATCTTTATAAAATATTTTGACTTTTTTCAGATTTCTCTTCGAGAGAGATTTCATAATTCTCTTAATATAAATTGGCTAAACATTTTCGCTCACTTTAAATTAAATGCAAAGTAAACTATTCAATAACTTAGCAGAAAACAATCTTGAGTATTAATTTAGTTTGACAAATATAGTGTATCAAAACTATTCATGTGACATTTAATCAGAGTATTTAATGTGAGGCGAAGCAAGTTGACTTGTTAATGGAAAGTGTGCCAGTTTTTGATCATGATAGATGGCTGGTAAAAAGCGCAGGAAGTCTGGATTTATGTAGAAGGCCAGAGGAAATGAAACGCTTATTAAAACTACATCCGGTATACACCTTCACGGGTGGAGAAGCAAATTGACGAAAATATTTAAGACATTTTGACACCATATCTAGATGTATCTTTTGAAGTTTACAGTTGGAAATGTAGTAGTTTTAATATAGTTTTTTTTTAATTACGTAAAGGAAATAATATTTAATATTACTTCATATTGGCGTTGGCGACCCGATTGGCGTGGGGAGTATTGACCCTGCCTCTTGCGCCAGAGGGTGTGGGTTCGATCCCCACTACTGGAAAAATATTGTGTGATGAAAATCGTGTTTTTCCAGTGTCTGGGTGTTTATATATGTATAATATGTATTTATTTACAAAAGAAAAGTATGTTTAAGTATGTTCATCAGTTTATCAAGTACCCATAGTACAAGCTTTGCTTAGTTTGGGACTAGAGAACGTTGTGTAAAAGATGTGTCCGATATTGTTATTATTTTGGGGATATTTATTTGTTTTCTCGTCTGGTTGGGTTTGGGGATAAATAATAAACATATAGATATATTGATATATTGCATATATAAAATAAATATTATGAATTAAAATAAATATTATGAATTAAAATAAACATACAAATATAAATATTACATACAATACATAAATAAATAGGACCCAACCAGACGGAAGCCCTCGGCAGGGGAGACCAAACGGCCGAGGGTTAGGGTGAGAGGGAGAGAAACCGGCGGACGATGCGGGCGGTATCGAGGAGCACCGCCTTCTGCATTTGAGCTTGGAGCGTTCCGTCCCGGAGTCCCAGTCGCCTCAGATGTTCGGAGAGGCTGACTGGGATTAACCCATTCGCAGACACGACTACTGGGATAATTTCGGTCGGCACACCACCCCACATGTCGGTCACCTCATGAGCCAGGTCCAGATACTTCGTCTTCTTATCTGTTTCGGCTTTCACGAGGTTCTCGTCAAATGGAATGGTAATGTCGACCAAAAATACCTGCGACTGTGCCCGGTCCATCACCACGATGTCAGGTTTGTTCGCGACAATCGTCCTGTCCGTGATGATGGGCCGGTCCCAATAGAGCCTTATTATTATTATTATTATATTTAAAACCATATAATTACCTAACCTAATAGAAGTCCCTTTTAGATGTATTGGGAATATCAAGGGGTCCGTAAATAACCAACATATTGAAATGCTATAAGTCGGCTGTGTAGTTTTTGTAAGTTCCAGAAAGTCGGGGGTCACCTATTTGTTAGGGCAAACAATAACCCTGTTTGCCATTCCGTGTTTAGAGACGTCTGTCGTACAGAAGCCAATCCTTATATGGCATCGCCCACCAGCCGAAGTGAAGTCGGCACGCGTGGCTTTGAAGCATGTACTTCTAGGTCGAGTGCCCTAAGTAAATGATCGCAAGCTTTTAAGGTTCCGGTCCCTTATGGCGTAAACCGAGGAACGTGATTCTGAACACCTGACTTATTAATTATATTCTGCAAAGGCAGTAGTGACGGGAACACACTGGGAAGTGGGACTTTCTGCAAGCTTTAAATTTAGCTGTTACGTAAGAAGATTGATTATCATAAATAATTAATGTATTTATTACGATTAATTTAAGTTTATGCCTTGGACGTGTATAATAAAAACAGATTTAATTAATCGAAAGGTCACAACCGTCGCTTAGTCAAATGTTATTAGCAAATTCAGACTATCTATAACCAATAACTAAAATATAATAATCACCAAGGACATTTGACATATGATCTTTATGTCTAATTTGGTACGTACTATACAGAGTGTTTTCATGTGAATCCGGCATCAGTACCAGGTTTAAAGATGTGTATGAAGCACAAATATCTTGTACAAATACAGCTATCTCTATATCTTGTATTATGTGATATATTGTTCGTGTAACTTAAAAGCACAAATCGGTCATTTACATAATGATTTATAATGTTTCTTGTATGTTACAATGCGTCTATTCAGACGTTTCTTCGGATATAACTTTTACTAGTAAACCAACAGTTTTATCAGGTTTAACCGCAGCATAGATGTCGCATTAAGAGATGAAATTCAAACTGTACAACAATATATTGAATATTCAACACGGAAAGAATGTTAGAGATGTGTTTCGAGTGTAAATCGAGTTCCGGTTGTCAACCGTAGATTGCCGGTTCTCGATGAATACGAAAGGGCTTCGATTAACGCATCTGTCCCCAAAATGTATACGAGAATTGTTTTAAGTTGTAAAACATTAAACACGACTAACGGTTAATGCGTCGAATTTAAATATTTCCTTTGTTATAAGACTAACAAGTACAGTACTACATACATAATTAACAAATATCTACTATCGCTATCAAAATTGTTAAATATAACATAAATATCAAATGAATTTCATTCATTTCAGATGATAAATAATCGTATTTAAAAAATAATATGACACTAACGATAACTTTGGTCGCTTTACATCATACACTTTTAATATTTACAGGTCTATTTATTTTCATTTGATCTTAATGAATATTGAAAGAGACAGAATCGTTTTCCGTTACGGTCGGTTTCAATATTCTATCTGTAGATTTGTGTTATGGACACTTTCGTCAAAATTCTATCACCAGTAAGAAAATCTACAGATAGATTGAATTGAATATAGATTGAATTGAAACAGGACGCCATCATCCTTGTTCAAAGTCGGATCGATTTATACCATATTAGACTTTTAGACAGCAAACTCCAAGATCGCTATCGTGCAGACGTCTCTAATTGATCGGTCAACATGTCCCGTGCGCAGTGGGGCCGGCCGAGTCATATCGGCAGCTCGTGATGTAACGACTATGCAAATCGTCTGCTCGGGCGAAGGGCGGGTCGACGACCGGCGAGTTCGCGACGAAGATCGATTTGCTGCGTGCAGTTTCAATGTCGATACGCATCTGCCGAAGCCCGGCATTAGTGATGATGTTATCACGGCCGCATGGAAGACGAGCCTAAGTATGTATGCTTTTGCTTTTTATCTGTGTTTCGTGAAGTTTGACACTGTTCGTCCGGCCAGTCTTCGTCACTAACACACCGGTAACGAGATATTACAGGATCTCATGATGGCTATCTAAGCCCTGAACGACACCTTTTGATATGACGGAACACTTAATACATTTCATCGAGGAAACGTAAAAAAAAAGGAAATTACAATCGTAAGAGGACAGACTAAATAGAAGCTGAAGAACTGAACAAATCCTAATTTATTTTAAATTTTCAATGTCTAATACATCTTTGGTCCTATCCAATGAAAAAAAAAACAATGGTAGCAGATAATGCTGATGCTAGCAACGAAGGCGTGAAAAAAAACATAAAACTCGATGTGCGAAGTGAAAACATTTTATAGTACGATACGTACATTTCGTTAAGTTGATGTTCATAGAATAAAACTTACTGAATGTTGACAACGCCTAGATACGCAAAGCGCAAGATGATGTGGAAAGAGAAAATAAAATAATTTCTGATACGACATATCGCCGGGAGCTTTTAACGGACCTATATGAACAGCGTAATTAGTCTATAATTGGGCATATTAAGAGTTATGAAATGACGCAGTCGTAAAGCGAAACACCAGGGTGCACCAATAAACCCGCCGCCCCTCAAAAGCACAAGGATTTGTGCAGCGGACGGGTTCTCTCCATACTTCAATAAAAACTGTTAATGGATCGACATTAATAAAGGCGGCTGACAAAAAACCAACGGGCGCATTCAAATTCCTTTATGGACGGACCTCGATGAGAATAAGCTTTGAGGTCTCGATGACAAAGAGGTGCTGGTTTTATTGCACTCCGATCGTAAATAGGGACGCGGCGGTGCCGAGATCTGGATGAGTTGTTGTTTTTTCTCCATCGCATTAATATATCCTTACTTCAGCGAGTATGGGAAAGGCACAGGCTTAACCCTTAGGGTACCGCCATTCGGTGCGATTGTATGCAGGTGTAACAAACATTAATGCCGTGTAGAAATCATATCTTTAAGGAACCTAAATGAGATTAGAGAAGAACCAGTCGCTATTGCAACACTTATATATAAAATGCTTTTTCCATAGTCATCACCAGCAAAAGTCTCATATAAAACGTGGAGCAAAACAGGTTAGATGTTAATCGAGTTAATTTATGTCTTTACATTAAGACAAAACGATACAGCACATTAGGTCTCATTAATAAATTGAACATAAAGTTCAACTAACTATCCCAGTTTCAGGCCGAGAGAGGTCATGTCTTTAGTTGAATCGTGAACAGCTAGGTTTTAATGATTTACACTATGATTTACAACGATTACGATTTTAAACCAAATTTAAAATGCATTCCGATAAGTTATCAGGAAAATAAAATTAAAAGAAAAAGAATCCAGCTCATCCTCTAAAACACAAATCTGACGAAAAATACAATTTGTGTAGAAAAGGAAAGAAGGAAACGATCGTACAAAGCAGTTTAAAAATAGATGTGGCTAATATAAGAAATGCTAATGCAAATATAAATAATTCATACTCCGACGACAGCACGTTGCAAGCCATACAAAAAAGATTATCGCTCAACATGATGTTGTGGCGATTCCACGACGTGGACTTCAAAATGACGGAAGTCGAGTGAATTGTTCACAAACCAGAGATTATGTTACATTATAATAACATCATCAGCGTTTAAAAGTAGATAAGTAATTAATACATAATATTAACCCAGACGAAAACTCTTCTGTTTAAACTTAAAAGCACAAGAGTTTAAGAGAAATTTTAGATTTTTGGTTGATTTAGTTTGAGTTTTTGGTAGTTGCAATTGACAAGCGGTGGTTGGTTTTTTTATGTGAGAAGTGGCAAACGAGCTGGCGGTTTACTTGATGTTAGGTAGTAACCGCCGCCCATGGACATTTGCAACACCCATAGGGTTGCAAATACGTTTTTAGCCACCTTTAAATAAAGTAGGCCCCGGCTACCTCACTCACCAGAAGAAAAACAGAAGTGTTCAGTGAACTTTACGCCGGTCTTCTGTGAGATCCTGGTACTTAACCCGGACGGACCTGCCTATTCGTGCAACAGTGAAAACTGTTGCGTGGCCCTACCACCAGATGTCCGTCATAGATAAGCAACGGTCTAGTGACTGTAAGTCTTATTATTTTCTTTATATGAGAAAGATTCACGAACAGGTGGTAAGGCATCTGACGGTAAGCAATTACCGCCGCTAGTGGTCATAACCACCACAACTGCCACCTTCAAGAATTGGTTATTTTACTCACCAGAAGGATTTTAAAAGCATAACTCTTCGTCATCTTCGTCTTCTGAGGCCGTGGCTCTAACACAGTCAAAAAGTAAATGGTAAATCACTGTTAAGCCAATGGCTATTAGTTCTATCCGATGCAATAAATACACCATTACTATTACAAATCTCTTCCGTCTTAAGTAATCCGCACCTTTTATACATTAGAATTGTCGTGGAAGTTAATTTTAACTTTACACGAAACAAAACGTTCGGAAAGTGGTCGTTACATCAAAGACCGTTAGGTCCCTGGCTCGAAAGACGATATATTCCCAATGTAGGACTGTAATAAGATAATGCAGTCCCATTTCTATGCTAACGCGGTGGATGGACCGATCGAGCGTGGCATAAGAGATGGTTCGACCATTCATATAAAAAAAACATTCTAATCACAGCAATAACGATTTTGTTACGGGTCCCTAATTAAGTCTCTACTAATATCATTAGGCTTATTTAGATTCGAAGAGATAGATACGGAATAATTCATAAATTTAAAAACTATAAAAAACATCAATCGCTAACCTCCCAATCGTTAGTTCAGCCTTCGGACAAAGAACAATTGTTGAACAATTTCATATAAAGTATCCGTAATTTCTCGAAGAATTCAATGAAATTTTAAAGCAGCTGGCTAACGCGGCGGGGAACACTTCGAATTTGATCATTGTGACAACAGCGAATGCCTGGGGCTGTTAAGCTTGACGAATGGTTTGCATTAATCAAAGGCCGCGATGATAACACCGGCTAGTCATCTTGCTATATACCCCTTCTCGCACTTCATACTTGTGAGGGTTTATTCAAATGAGTCGACTAATCGGTCGACGGCAGCGTTTCGACGCTTTGTTGACACCTCTTGGTCCAAGTTAAGAGAGGTTGCTCGGAAAATTTACAATTATTTTCTCGACTGTAGGGAAGTAATAAATATAAGTTGTAAAGGTTTTAATCTACTCTGTTTAGGTACGCGGAGGCAACTAGATAGCAAAAATATTAAGGCAAAAATTAATCTTAGTTCTGGCTATGGAATTTATTAAAATTATTATTATTAACCTGAAAAAAACAAATTTATCATATTTTCCTTCTTAGCTTTTTACTTGGTTTAAACAATTATTATTCAAATTGCCACTATATTATAGTCTATAATATAGACCTTAACAAACACCTATTGTATTCCGCATAAACACTATTACCGCCTAGGTAATTGCTCCCTACACATTTTTATAATTAGTCCACTACTTACTAGTCGGAAAGTTATTTTGTGTTTTTTTTTTTCTGTGAAGTCATTATTTGTAAATATTTAAAAAAAAAAGCATCTTAAACCTTAATAGATCAGCAGTGATGATACGCATACTCCCGATTAGTGGGTCGACCTTGACATAAAGTCATTATATTTTAAGCGCTCTAACCAGGTTTGAAGTGACCAACTTGTCGCGCAGGTCCGTGTACGCTTCACTCTTAGTTGTGACGGCATAATTATGTATAAACCAATAGATCCGCTTTACATCACAAAATTGTACCAAACACCGTCGCCGCTTTATCGAAACCCATTTTAATTTTATTAACATTCAGCCCGTGCACTTGTTTTAGGAGGTGAGCGTTATCGGGCATACATAATAATCCATGGACATTCCCTCAAATTAGAAGGCATCATTTTAGTGCGTCCCCGGTTTTATTATCTCTCAAACGAATATAGTGTCGACGGGTGACTCTAATGAGGAATTAAGTAGCGGGTAATAAATTTTGAATTGTGGGAGTTTTAGGATTAGATGCGATGGACTCTCTGCCTGATAAAATCTTCTCGTCATATGGAATGAATATGTGAACTGAAAAGAAAAGGGTAGTCAGATGAATAAAACAGAACTTTGTGGAACTTAAATTTTATGTTAGAGGTGCACGGCGTCAATCGCGTTGGCCTCGTGTGCTAAGTGAGAAAATATTCCCGACAAATATCAAAACCATCCACACGTATTCTCTATGGTAAAATACCAGATAATAGATATTTTGAACGTACATGACGCGAGGGTCCGAAAGAATCGATGTCCGTCTCCGCATTTAATTTCACAACCACCGGCCAGTTACATCTGTGAGCGTCGAAGTGACCATCGGCGACATTGTTGGTTTATCGAAAGCATTAAATTAGGCGGGACCCCAGCGGAACGGTCGACTCCGCGGCGTTCCGGCGTCACGATCGGATCAACGCACTCGGCCGAGCCTGGCCAAAAAAGCGTGGAGAATCCCCTTAGATAAACATCCATCGGAATCGATTCGGAGCTCCATCTCCGAGTGTTTACTTAGCAACAGTCCGCTTTGAATAAATCGATTTCACGTGGACGCCGTCGCGACAGAGGAATACGCCCTCTGTTATTAACACGGTAGAGGCTCGAGTCGTATCGCACGGATGTAATTTTCGGTATACCGCGATCGGTACACGCTAAACTAGGTTTTGCTTCTCGTGCAATTTGATTCAGTTTCGAACGGACGGAACGAGCGGTCGGATGACATCCGTCGTGATGCTTCGTTGTAGACTTGTGAAGGGCACTTGGAAAAAATATAACTGAACCGACACGTTAGGAGCATTTTCAACAGGAAGTCGTGATACTATTTCGGTCCAACCCCTTGGGAACGATTTAAAACCCTATAATGACCGTAATAATCACCTGTAACAAAAGTCGAATTATGTGTGTGTATATCTATTAAGGTCTATATATATCTGCTTTAATCATATATTATGTATATTCTTATTGCACCACCTACGTAGTATACGTTTCCTTTACGCCATTGGTTGCCTGGAAGAGATCGCTATGAAGCGATAAGGCCGTCAAATTGTACACTGCATAAATTTGTTGTTCTATTGTATACTCTCATTAGGGCTGGACAGTAAAATGTATTTTCCTCAACTCAACTCAAATCTCGGCACCAAAGAGTACAATACGCTGAATACGCATTAAATAACACGTGTTAGGTGCTCTTTCTCATCACAAAAATATTGTCTTAGTATATAACAATAACTTAACGACAAAAAAGACTAGGATATCAGAGGCACGATGTGGTATTTCAAGAATCATGACGCATTTTACATTCGCTGCGAACAAACGATTTCATCGTCTACTAAAGCAGCCGACAGAGCATCGAAACGAACAATCCGAGCGGTGATTCAACCGTACGTGGATTTCCCTTTCAACGGTCGCCGCGTTCGAGATTTGGGCCACTTCATGCGTTGACCCCGGTCCATCGATCATGGCGGGGCGTGTCGAGTGCGCATGTTAAGCATTACCCGTAATAACAGGCCGGAGCGTCATCTCCGAACAATGTTACGCTCCTCGGGGGTAGGAAATTACAATGGTAAAGTTCGTATTCGTACACCAATCTGTATATGGCGCGGAAACTTGAACCGGCGCAATTATTAACAACGGAAGATGGAGAGGTTGCGATGCAATTTATTGCTCCCTCTCGAGTTCGATTTGCATTAAATTTTGGATCCAACAAAGCTCTTCGCGTCTCGTAAGAAAATTGTTTATGTTATCGTGACATTAAAAAAATATTAATATGTATGTGACGTGCGGTAGCTATTTATGTCCGCACCAATGTACTTTCCATTTACTTTAAAAGTCTCTTCGTATCTACTCAACCCGTGCGCCTTATTAACAAACATGCACAAGAGAACTGGACGTAAAAAAGCCGAATATCTACCACTTCGAACTAATCGCTGTCCCACAATCGCTATGATTCATTAGACAAGCGTCGCTCGGAACCAAATAACCCCAATTAGGAATATTAAATAGCTTGCCGCCTTTTCACTGGCGCTCCTGTTTGCCCGGGCCTCGCGTCTAATGCGTCTCCGGCGTACTTTCGTCAAGTGCGTCGTCTCCCTTATTACGTTAATTGACGTCACTTCTCGTTGCCGCGTCAACTCCCCCTCCCTCCTCGCCCCTCGCCACAGTGCCACCGTCAGCACGTCCCGGTGTAATGTGAAACGGCCACTCTTCTGGGAATCGGGGTCCCACAAACACATTAGGCCGCTACCTACGGAAGCGTTGAAATGTTAATTTGCGCCTGCGATCGAGTCATAACGCAATTATAAAACGAAAGCAATCACCCGCCAGCCTATCCAAACAGTTTGGTTAAGAAGCCTTGCAAAGTCTGACACAGTGAATTTGGCACCTTCGCATCATTATCATCATCCTCCTGCTCTCATCCCACCTAGGCTAGGTCGGCACATGTGAATCATATTGAAAGGTTTTGGCTACGTTTTTTACCACCGGCGACGTCAAGCCTCCTTGGTAACAATCACCCAGATCTGGAGCTATTTTCTGTGGGACACTTTTCCCGTGTGGGAATAGAACCCACGACCACCCCCATCGAAGTCAATAGTAGCAACTGCGACATCGAGTCATCTTACCATAGCATCTGCGAGGTATTAGGTGCGCAATGATTTTTCCTTGTCATGCACTATTACAGCCGCATTAACAACATATGGGAACATCCCGACTGCTTAGCAGTCTTACATATGTTTAAGCCAGTTCAGATCGCGTCGCTAGCATCTCAGTCAGATGTAAGTTGGCGTAATGCGTAAATGCATGGCGTAAGTCTTCGTCAAAGTTATCGTCGTGTTCGCAGAAAAACGCACGTCGACCGCTGTCTACCGCCATACCGCCCTCCAGGTCGTACTCTCTAATTGGGAGTTATATTTGCCGTGGGATCGCTATAGTGAATTATCGCGGCGCACCGTCTCGTTAAATCACGCTGAGTAATCGCTGACAAGGAAGCAAATCGCGGGCTGACCGCAAAAGCGACGCGCGCAGAATTCGGACCGAGAGCTTTTACTTAGTGCATCGATAACGCTGGATGCACCGATGCGAAGACAAATATAATTGAATGTCATTTAATACACATCTCATGTGGCTGTTAGTGTTTTAAGCTCGTTTTCTTGGGAGAAAATGATAAATAATGGTTCACCTCATATTACGTTAGACACCACCCATTGACAGTTAAAACACCGTTGCCAACTTTTGGGCAGTGCCTCGGTAAACTCAGGCCATCACCAGAATTCTTTAGGTCGTCGCCGGCGCGACGCCGCGTTTCTTCCCTGCCTCATTCACCGCCGCGTCTCAGTTAAAATGCATCCACAGCGGAATAATCTCGAAAAAGAAGCACCAACATAGGCTATTAACTTTTTGTCGAGCCCGAGCGCCGGCCGCCGATTCTGTCATTCACGGATCCACGAAGATCGTGCGTAAATAAACGACGCCGCTGTGTAAACAGCGCAAGGCGTCGGTTCACGCTAATCCAGCTCTTGTAATTGGTTCTCTTTTTTGTGAAGCTCCGTACTGTGGCGGCGGCGTGCCTTAAACATTGAAACGAGATCAGAAGACAATATCGGTGCTCGGACACAGGTTTTTTCGTGGATAAGGCGAGCGGAGCGGCCGGGTCGGCGACCCCGAGAAACTCGTCCAGCGGCAAGCGAGTAATCCACGCCGGAACTAGATGATCGACGAAAAGAAACGCGAGGGAAATAACGCGAACGCGTCGATTCTCAGTCGGAGATTATTTATGTGTTTACGGCGAAGTTTCTACGTTCCTTCCCGCCTACGCGGACTGGGTGGTTTCTTTAAGCGATGCATAACCGGTCCTATTTCCATTAGACTACATCCGATCGTATATCATACAGCCACGATACATTATAGTATGTCTATGGAAGTATTGCTAATGAAAATCGACGAAAATCAAGCACTAATTTAACTCGTGTTGCAATAAACTCTGTTAAATTCATCAGTGAAAGTTAAGGGAAGGTTTATACGACATAACTCGCAAATCGGGTATTGTCTCAGCATGTAACCATTTCTTGCCAGTGTTGCGTGATGCACATCGGCTGCAGAGAAAGCGGACGACGCGCCATCTCATCATCGGATAGCTTTAAGAGCGCTGTAACAATGAGCTCGATTTGACAAACCTGTCGAGGGATAATTTAGTGTATGATTAGTCTTGATAGTCAATTAAAGACCGCTACCTTATTTGTTGCATGATGTGTGCTTACACATAATTATGGATTTTTAAGGCGTCTTTTCAACGTGGGAGCAAGCAAAAACTTCGAGACAGCCTTTCTAAGAACTCTAGCCGAGGAAATAAACATCATGGGACAGAGAGCTCCACTGAACATCAGTGAAGCTGAATATTTAATTATCATCATCATTATTACTTTTAATCCATAGGCTAGCATAGATCTCCTATAGAATATTGTGAGTAAACCAATATAAAATAGTCAAGATTGACATGGCTCGTTCTCATAGAACGGAAAAACTTTTTCAAAAGTGCATAGAAAAGGGCAGAGCATTACAAATCTGTTATTTGCTAAATTAACTAACTTCCAAATAGTAGTACTGTTATCGCTTAATTTAAAAAACGATGCTAGACAAAAATTAAGTCAGTGTCGACACACACTCATGCCTTTTATCCAGAAACTATCGAATCTGTCCCCATACATTGACACAGACTGAATACATTGTGATGTGTGCATATTAAATAATGTCTCGCCTCTGTAGTATCGAAGCTCGGAACAAAAGATTCGTGCGCTTGCTACGGCCGTCATTTCTTCAGAACAATCATAATTGATAGTTCACATTCTCGAATTGTTACAACACTCAAATTGATAGAGCCTCTCGGTGCTTTGCGTGTGGCGTACGTGTTGGTCCACAGATCGGACAGTTTCACAATCGATGGGCTTTGTTCTGAATGAATTAAAACAGTTCATACATTTCGTAACGGGACCCCGTCGCTTGTTAGTGTCGTGTAGTTGGACGAGTAATTGTTGTGGACGTTTGATTAATAGTTAATTTCGGAGCTGTAGATGTTACGTTGAACACAATGAATCACAAGCGAAACATTAAATATAACACAGATCGATTTCAACGATGAAAAGGAAACGGACAAAACAGTATTATGTAAAAAAGGAACCTTTCGCGTGCAACAAGGCGCCCGGTTTCTGAAACACTGATTATCGTAGAGATTAAGTTAACTCGATAATGTTACTCACTCGGTAATGGTACCTCAAATGACATTATACAAGTAATTTGACAGCTGATTAGGTAATTTCTGATTAGTGTCTCAGAAGCCGGGCGAGAGCCCATGTTTATAAGTGTACGACAGTTAATTATAGTTGGATATTTTTAACTCTGCGTGAAAAGAAACGGTATTCTTAGGGACAAGTTGAGACTTGTCTGCAGATTGGCCTTGAACGGGTATTATACTGCAGCCACTTGTAGTTCATTGCATCTACCTGGATCTACTACGCGTGCATACTGCGATAGGGCGAGTTGATATATTCATTTCGTTATATTTACTTTTAATTTAAAAGTACTTAAGTAAGTACCGTTAATAAGTAAGAAAAATAGCAGCCATAGCCGACAAAATCTTGGTCGAAAACTAATCACCACTAAATCTACACGGAATCTCTAAATTTTTACCATCCAAAATTGTCATAAACGTTCCAAATGTTGATATTAAAGACATCGTGCATGGGCTCATGTGGTCTAACAGTTAGTGGTACCATTAAGACATGGAGACCGTGCGATAAAACGGGCAAGTCGAAGCCAGGGGACGTGCTACAAGGCATCGTGATAGATAATAGTGCCGTATGTCATGCAGACAAAGCCCATGCACACAATAAACACCCTTCAATGTTGTCGCAGTAAAATAAATTTTCGTATATCACGGGTCGAGACCCGACAAAGTTTTCGAGGGAATTTGAAGCGCTTTATTGCGTACATTGTCATCAAGATTTCGTATGCGATAAGGTGACCCGTGTAAGCACATTGTCTGACGCAGGTAGAGCGACACTTACGGTTCACGGTTGCCTTACTCGGAAATTGTTATTTTATTAAAATTTAGCTCATAATTTTGGCCGCTCGGTTTGTTATGTTCCCCTGGTAGTTGACGACCGCGCCGACCTCCGATTCTCATCTTAAAAATTTCGGGTTTCCTTATCATAAACGGGTACTGCCCGTATTTGAAAGCACTATAAACGGAGACATCTTCAACATTTAAGATAAAGAAAAAAAGACATATTTTGAACGTATCTTACTTTGCGAGAAGTCGGCAACGAGGTCGTAATTTTGCGAAATTTATCTTCATCAGTAATCAATAAACCAAGTTTTCGCATAAGTTTAGTTGATTACATTGAAACTAAAGCTTATTTCAAACTTACCGGACTTCACCGAGAGAAAGCCATCAGACGTACTAACACCTCCCACGAAAGGCATTATGTTTTATGTAAAAATTTGGCAGTGAGCGAGCAGATGGTACACCTTATTTTACGTGATTACCGCCTCCTTGGACTTCTTCAACTCCTGAGGTATTGCAAACGAGTTGCCAACTTTTAAAAAAGTGGACACTGGTTATCTCACTCACTTCACGCAGTTTTTCTATGAGGTCGGACGAGTCTACCCATTCGCTGAATAGCAGAAGTTGCCATTTGATTATACCACAGTGAAATAGTAGTTACATTACTAGCGCGTATTGCGATTATAATTACTTTTCATACATCACGTCAGTTATTTAGCTTCACCCTGCTAGTCACATTACCGGAGGCCACTCTTTACAATGCGTCCACTATCCTGGTGTCATTTCCAATCAGCTTAACAACTGGGCCATTTGTAAACTCCTTTCAAAACGTTCATCAGCTTTACTGTCGTCAGGAGGCCTCATTCCGCGCCATAAAGCGGTGTGACGAACGCGCGGTATTTATGTAAACAGCGAATCCAGTTCTGCGGGCATCGTTAGTGGCGATCCGTCGCGACGCAGATATCTCGGTCTAAGCCGATTACGAGCCGCGAGCTCATTACGAGCCAGATGACGGCGAGCCGCGGGCTCATTACGAGCCAGTCCAGCCCGGGCTCGACGATCGCCAACCTTAGCCCATCGCGCGATCGAATCTCGGTTTCAATTAGACGGCAATGTGTTGCACAGTAAATTGTGTCCGTCTTGAGTTCCCAATGATTGACTAAATCCTTTCCATCGGGTCGCAGTCTGTCGCAACGATAGAATAATGTAACGCAGTCGATAAACAGCTAATGAATACCAGACCGCTTGTTATATTAATGCCGTCTAAGTAAATTGTGTCGGAGAGAGAAGTGCATAATAATTTCAAGTATTGGACACCAGTTTGCATAATTTAATTTGAACATCACTTTAAGGTAGACACGAATTTGGTAAATATATAGAAGAACACATAGCGATTTAATAAAACACATAAATTATTAAAAACTGAATAAGATACAACAAAATTTTACTATGATTCTGATGAAAACAGCTCATTTTGATTGTGTTTTGTTTTTTTAAGACACTAACTTACTTGTATAGTGTTCGCAAAGGTTACACAATCTAAATTTAGATAGGAGACTGCATTTATTATAAGGACAAACGGATTCGAAGCAAGATACCGTCCTTTCTAAATCTCGATTAATTACATTTCAGCAGACGTGAGGCTGCGTGCAGATGGAAAATATACACTTGGTTGCTCGTAAATATTCGGATCTCAGTAGCTATTTTTCTAATCAATGCGACAGATAGAACTAGTACAAAGGAGCTCAGTTGACGTTGACCAACCTGCATATTTTAAATTTATTGAATCCGTAATGAAAGAAACGTGAAAGAAGTACCAGCTTACATCTTCGTAATGTTTTCAACTTTAAGTATGAGTCAAACTATCCGGTAATGCCTGTTTACAACCAAGGAAAATTAATTCTGTTCATCATATAATTTGGCCGCAAGTATGCAACCTATTGCATAAAAACGTTCTTACGAAAACAATTCTTAAGGAGGAGCGAAATGAAATAACAAAACCTTTAAACATTGGGCGGGCGTAAGAAAATTCGACAGCGGAGACGCGTCAATTGCAGAAATTATCGAAAAACAAGAACAACGCTTCAGGAGCCGCGATGCACGCACACAGCACTAATCGGGCATAAGAAAATTCGACCGCACGTACCCGTCAAATCGCACCGAACGCAAATTGAAAAAAAAAAACGCACGTAACGCGCCGCGAACGCACGCGTATCGCGAATTTATTCAAATGGCCGAAACCATCTGCCGCTTTGGGTCGGGACGGTCGCCTCGTCGCCGGCTCCTGGAAAAGGGTGTAGCAGCAAAAACGCGGTACGTGCCGGGCGAACGGAATGCATCTGCCGATATTCGCGATGCGCAGATCGCGTCGAAAGCCGAAGTTTCGGCCGTTTCGCCTCGAAATTCTCGCACGCAAGATAACAAGCTAAGGTTATATCTGATCTGTCCGATTTACATTTCAAACACGACACATTTCCATTACCTTGCGTATGGATTTTAATATCATCCGTAAACTTATAGAACCTGTACTCAATGTCCAAAGCCCTACTTGTTTCGCATCTGGGTGTTTGTTTGCGTGATATTTGTAAAACGTCCTTATAACACAAGATAGTGTAATTCTAAACTAAGGGCAATGTTAGTTAGTTTTTAACATAAAAAAAAGTGATGGCAAGTAATTTTTGTATTGAAATGGTCAGCGACTTATTCATCTGGAACCCGGTAAGTGCAATAAATGCCTCCGTAATGAGGGCAATTAGGTGCCGAGATTCAAGAGCTGACGTAAGCAGAACCTGTTACAAGACCTGCCGAGTTATTGACTTCAAAATCATCTGAGTTAAGATAACAAATAAACGTGAATGCCCTATTAAACCGTGCTATTTTAGCAGGCACTCGCATTTTCCGCATAAAATGAAACTGTAGACCGAGGGCAGAGCATATGGGAGCATACGCGTGTGGGCTCGCACGACAGAGATTTAGTACCAGCAGCACAATCGAGTACAATATAACGCGAGATTTAAGACCCACCGCCATTAATGTTGCGTTTCGACGGGCCCTGTTATGCAAACTAAGGGCCGGCTCGGCGGACGCGCCATCTATTATTAACTCCTGGACTAAGGAAACTATAGGTATAGTTAGGCCGCAGTTAGCCGACTCTTGTATAGATAGGCCGCGACTAAGAAGCGAGATAATATCGCCTTATTTATAGCGTGAAGTCAGGGTTCAATACCTTCGGATTTGGAATTTGCCGCCATTGTGCACGCTGTCCGGTGCTGCGACGGTATTTGACAAGGGTTCGCAATCAGCTTTTGATGGTGTATTGGTAGTTATGCTTCGTAATGTCTTTTTAATGGTGCAGTTATTGAACGAAGTTTACCTGGCAACTATGACACACAATCCAACTTCTTAAAGGTAAACTTCCAGCTACTCCCAGCCCCGAGGTCTTGTGGACGTCCATGGCCAGAAGTGATCATATAAAATCAGCAGGTAAACAATTTGCATCCATCAAGTACGATATTTCGATGAGATAATATATATGACGATGTTTCGATCAGATCTTATATGTATATTTAAAGTCAACCATATAACTAATGATATATTTAGAAAACAACATGACATTGCCGCTACCAGGTATTTGTTTGGCGGCCGTTCGCCGCCTATTGTTCCAAATTCGCCAAAGGGAACCGGTTCTTGAGATAATGGCAGCGGAACGGCCACGCATGCCAGTCGCGGCCGACCTGAGATTCCAGCCTCAAGCAGTTTCGGCCTTAGGGAATCCAGCGCGGGAAAGGAAAGGCTGAAGTCCAGGGGTGGCCAACACTTCGACGGCTTATTATTCTCTGGTCGATCATTCGTGTTGGTCTGATATAAAAACATATTAGAGTATATGATAAAGTAAAGCAGCTATTTATGGCTTATAAATAATTAGCATCCTTAACATCCTCCTTTGCCTGCGCATAGAGCAAGATAAGAAGTAGATCTAATGCAGAAAAAAGTTGGTCACCCCTGCTTTTGTTTAAAGCTCGTATATGCACGACCTATGGTTTATCGAGTGGCTTTGGATAAAAACTCGAAAACGCAGCTAAGTCTATCGATAATCGTCATTTCATAAGACTTAAAAAGCCGTCAAAGCACAAACGAAAAAAAATTTTGTCGCATTTAGAAAAGTTAAATTGTGAGCGATTTTTCAAAAATACTTAATGCGGCAATAAACCTGCAATATTTCTTCCACACATTTTATGAGGCCCTAAAAATAAAAAACATTTATCTTTAAACAAAACTTTATCTTTTTTGGTACGGCTACCGACACGTAAATCGCCGGGCCAGCGATATAAGACCACAACTGATTTTCTACCTTACGCCTGTGAAAATGGAGCTTCAAATAGGTAACTCTTAAAGATAATTTTCCAATCCGACAAAATCGGTCCCATAATGGTTTCATTTAGCGTTCCTTCGAGTGCGTAGTTCTGCTTGATTTTTTATATATAATGCCCCTACAGTAACACGATAATGAAGTCTTATAAAAATGTTTTCCGGGCAAAATTAAATCATATAAATCTCGATAGCACGAGAACTTTAGCGAGTTATAGAAAATTTGTGGGCTATTAAAGTAATGCATTTTTAAATTTCATATTAAATTAAGTAAATAATTTCTGTTCTAAATATAAAAATTTAAATTTGTCGAAAAAAAAGTCGAAATGTTTTTCGCCATTTTTGTCAGCAATGTTAATAAACATTTAAGAAAGGTAATATGATACTTAATCTTAACTAAAATAACATTTTGTACAGCAGTAGAATCTATCCAATAGTATCCTCCGTACTGGCCAGTTCTTCACTATCACCTCACCCGATGATAACATATTTGGATGTTATCTTAGACTTGGCTCAACAACAACCTTGATGACAGCCACATCATAATCGGAGGGGAAAATTAACTACTTACTTCTAATAATCTATTATACTATACTAGCGACCCGCCGGGCTTCGCACGGGTGCAATGTATAATACATATAAACCTTCCTGTTGAATCACTCTATCTAGTAAAAAAACCGCATCCAGATCCGTTGATCCTTTAAAGATCTAAGCATTCATAGGGACAGACAGACAGCGGGACGACTTTGTTTTAAACTATGTAGTGACAATGACAGAAGTAGTTGAGGCAATACTAAGCGTGAATAATACACGTTGTTTTGTTTGCATAACTCCGCTAACAAGCCCGTCATAATGCGGAGCCTCGGCGTACAGCATTTCGCCGCGCCGCGGATAATCCTGGACCGGTCGCATGGCTCGTAGATAAAAATTACGCCTTAATGGCCCAAAGAGAAAAACGGCGGCTCCTTGTAGCACGAACGGACCGCGCGTGATTTAGGTATGATGTTGCTCCGCTACCAAGGCTCTATTCACAGCTTACGAAGCTACTGTCAGTAAATGTATGAATGCCCGTTGAACGATAACATTCATTACTCGGTGCCGCTTTTTATACGCGCATGCTTATGTTCAAATCAAGCGAAAAATTTAAATAAAACATTTAGATTTATGAGTTACTAGCACGAACAAGTCACACGTGATTCAGTTATAACGTAACTGCGCTACCAAGGCTCTATTCATTACATTCGAAGGGTTAGTCAGAAGCGCGAGTTGAACATAACATGCCCGTTAAGCGTTGACATTACTTTGTACCTAGTTTTGGACGCACATAGCCGATGCTTCGGGTACAAAACGCAAAGGGTTAGCGTTTTCTTATTAATTTACACATGTTAATAGTCCATGGGCCTAGAACGTCATTCAATAAAGATTTATAAAGGCGCTGCAGTGTTGGTGTGCCGCAAGCCTTAAGCTCGGTGCAGACAAGAACGCAACCGAGGTACTTTTAACTATAACGAATGATCGATTTGAACCGTCTACGTCCATTTGTATCTTACCCCGATAGGCGTGTCGGTATACAAATAGTTCACATAGTGCAACTCTCGGGATCATAAATTCTCAATCCTTCCGCGATGCATTGACGACAAGACCTATTTTTATCGCACCACTCATAGGAATCTGAGCGTCTTTCGTTAGGCATTTATGATTGTATCGAGACAAAAACTTTACACTAAAATATGTAGAAAAATTAAAATATGTAGAAAAAGTGCGAAAAGATTGTCGCCGCTGTGGGAATCGAACCCACGTCTTCGGCATTCGCGGCCTGACGCTCTAGCCACTGAGCTAAACGGCTGATGACCACACCGACGAAAATCTTAACGCATTCCTCTACATTGTTCAAGCTTGACTTACACTGATAAAAAGAGTTCAAAAAAATATACAGTTCATCGCTTAGTAATTGTTAAAGAACGACTTCTTCAAGTGTAATGACGGTTTCTTTTTCAACCTCTTTAATGTATACAAAGTAAAAATACCTTTATTCTGGCAATTGTCTATGGATATGCGAAGTGGGGAGCGCGTGAATAATCTAGCAACACTGTTCGGACGAGAATGCCTTATTAGCTGGTGGCGACGTAGCGATAGCAACTCCCGAGAGTGATTACATTTCTCACGCTCGCCGCCGAGTCATCTCCAAAACGAAGCTTGAGGAAGTGGACCCCATTATCTTCCTGAAATCAAGTCAAACGGGCGTGCGGCTAGAGGCGATTTTTTACCCCGACTCCGCCGTAACGAGGCATGCGAGGGTGCGATTATACTAATGCATTTCTTACAACCTCCACTCCCTTATTATAAACGCATTTACCGCTAATGGATCGGTATTGCCCAACTTGACATCCGAGCCAATTCGTATTATTAAGAATTGGCTGGCGCTAGTTTAAACAGTATTACATTGTACAGTATTACTATAATAAATTCCGCATTTCCGTCTTGATAACATCAAAAAAAAGTGTCTCCGCAATTCCTTTGCCATGTTTATCAAGTTCATGAGACGATTATTATTTGCACCGTTAATTTGAAAGTTCATTCTCCTTATTCAAGCCTTAATAATATTGGATTGTTCAATTTTTATAAATGTTCTCTAGTCTGGATCAGATGCGATTGTTAAAATAAACATTTAAATTTGTGTCGTAAATCGGGTAGTTATTCTATTTGGTAAAACTGTATCGGATTTAATTTTATTAAGTTATATGCAAAACGGTTGTGAGCAACACCGGTTAACTATTAAGTAATTGTCCCCGCCATGTTCTCGGACACTCATCGACCCAAATTCACTTGACCGTGTGAATTGTACAGACTATGAAATAAAGCCTATGAGGCATTACCGCACAGACGTAAACATCAAACCTTATCCCTGCAATTTGTAAGATATACGCGTACATTTATGCAACGCATTATAAGAGTTCGAGTTTAAAAAGTAAAACTCGACACCAATCTTGTTATAAATAATAACAATTTATAACCTACGCTGTAGCATATTTGACTTATATAGTAAAAGTATAAACCAATTTGGTTTAAGTATAACTAGTCACTATGTATAGAAAGAAAACATAATTACCTATTAGCTGCGCAGGACATTATGTCAGATTTCATTTCGATTTGAATTACGCTTTCTGCTTTTGTCAGATATAACAAGCTGAACAGTCCCGCTAACAATCAAATTGAATGTAACAAATAAGTAGCCACATCAAGCTTTGTAGTTTTACATTCGATCCCATACATGTTACACAATTCGCGGTAGTACCAATCTCCATCTGCCTATGCTCTGCAGGAACAACCGTAACCACCGCTCGCCAATCATTCGTATACACTAAAAGGCTCGGGCATTCGAAGCTGGGCCTACCTGCTAAGTACTCTATGCGGTAACACATAACTAAGCGTTAACCTTGCTCTGTAACGCTACCGTTACTGTTACACGGACGGTCGTCTATTATGTATTTCGAAACGTAGCGACATAAAACTGTAATGCGCGTCCGTATCTGTACCGACGTGTCCGTGGAGTGCCTGACGAATGTCAATTATTCTCGTGATTTGTAAACAGACATGTCACACTAAAAGGCTGAGTGGTCACAATCTCATAAACATTGTGACTGCTTAGTCTTTTAGTAACGTGTCAAGTGTGTCGCGAAAACATCGACTAACATCGAATTATCTAAACTCGTTGGTAAGAGTCATTCCTATATTTGGATTACAAAATAACATGCATTAGTAACCATAAATGTTCACTTCTTATGTATATTAATTTCATTGCTGCTTTATCAGATCGGAAAAAAAATCCCCGTGTACCCAGTTGAGATTATTTACTGCGCTTATTTATGCGACGTGGTAGGGCCACGCAACAGTCTTAGCACTAATGAACAGTTCCGTCCGGGGAAGTATCACTACCTCACAGAAGACCGCCGTGTAGTGGAAGTGTTATATTTTTGCGTTTCGTCTGGTGAGTGAGGTAGTTATTAAAAGGTAGCAACGCATCTGCATATCCCACGGGTGTTGTGAATGTCCATGCCACGCCAGCTCGCTTTCTGCCTTTTCACAGAAAAAAAATTAGGTCGACTGATAGAATTCTTAAGACATTTACAATATGATTTTAGGTAGTCATTGTAGTCCCCTCCGACCGGGTTCCCACCTTGACGTGGCGGAGGGGCTTAGTAGCCGTGGCTTGGTCACCCACGGCGAAGCTAAGAGGAACCCAAACTGGGTCGGCTGAGTTGTAAGGCCGGCCCGAGAGTGCCGCTCCGAGTAGGCTCATTGAGCCCACTCTGGATGCGTGCTGGAGGGTGCAGGGGACAGGTCGAGGGTGGTAGAGGTGGAACCACACTCACTGTCTTCTGCTACCGAGGAGGAGTCGCGGGAGAAGAGGAGTGTCGGTATTGCGTTGGCCGTGCTCCCTATCCTCCGCGACTCGGTGGGGCTGCACCGCTGATGCAGTGGTAGTGGGGCCGCGGGGGGAGAGGAGTGTCGGTATTACGATGCGCCGTTCTCCCTACCCTCCGCGGCCGAAACGTGGTGAGCGGTGGAGTCACAGACCAGGTCCGCCGCTGGGGGCTGGGAGGCTTGCTGCTTATTAGCACTGGCTCTCCTGGCTCCCATGGCCCCGGTCAGCGAACTCGGGGGAGTTCGTTGAGTTCGAGTACCTGGAGGGGAGTTGCTCCCCGGGAGTGTTCTGCTGCGGCGGCCAGCGCTGGCAGGGTCGCGGAAGTGTGCGAAAGCGTTCCCATGACCCTGCCGATATGCGCCTAGGTGGAACATCGTGGGGGTTTTAGTCCGTGCGAGCCCGACATAGCCCGCTCTTGCCTCCGTGAGGTCATTATACATATATTATTGTGATTACACTAAAAACACATTAACCATCTTAAACGAACCCGCTTATTTGGGGCCTCGTACACGACTCGTATTTGTGACCGAATAATAATAGTCGTTCCCGAGCGGAACAGCGCAACGCCATACTCAAAACCAACGGCTATCCATCAGATAACAAGAATCAAGATCGAAAAATTCGCAAGAAAACGAGTTTAATGAAGACGCTCGATGAGCCTGCAAGACGTTACGTTTCAAAAAAGTTTATGAATATTTATCCGATATATTCGTCAATGTATTCTACCTATTTACAGCGATGAAATGATTACGGTAATAGATCGTTTAAGCTAAATTGGAGGTCAGTTTTGAAAAACTTTATGATGTAATCTTTTGCTATAGCCTACTTTTACTATTAAGACTACTATATTAAGGTTATATATTATAGGCAGTGGATACAAATTTGTGCCTATGTATTATGATCACAAAGGTGACAAAAGAAAGAAAATTATCTACACACAAATGATATAATAGAAAGCGAGTCTGACTGAACGATAAATCTTGGAAATGACGTCAATAGTGTGGGTCATAAAGTGTACCGCAACACAATACGACGCAGGGTCCGGTCTACACAGCCATCGGGTGAGGCACTAGCCAGGAATAGTCCCATTGAATTAGGGGCCATTGTTTAAGATAATAGGGGTAGGCGATTATACACGCAGGTGCATTCTTCTTCGTAGGGTGTTAATAAAGTTTAGGAAGTCATAAAACTAATGAAGCTCAAATTAAACGGCCAGAGATAATGATGTTAAAACATAAACGACGTTTATGGTGCGAACTTTATTGTTTTTAATTCGGGACTGTTTTCTTATCAAAACCGAATTTGTTTGAAAGCTAATTAAAAATGAAATTTTTAATTAATTGTGATGTTGTTTTGTTGTTTTGGCGGATTTTCCAATGATATGTACACAAACTATTTATTGTTTTACTATTTATTTATTTATTTACAGCAGTACATGCATTCCACGTTTGAACAATAAGATTACAAAGAAAATCTGATGTATGTA